TTTTATGAATAGACATACCCTCGAAATCCTACCCAGTTTCGGGGAAAAAATTCGAGAAGGTATGAAATTTTTCGACAAAATTAAAAAATTTCAAATCGTTATGAAAAAATTATTTTTAGTTGCTGGGGTCAATTACAATAATTTTTGATGAATAGACATACCCCCAAAATTTTACCCACTTTGTAGAAAAAAAATCCCGTATGGGCGGTACTTTAAACGTTAATAACTTTTTAACGAAGTCTCAATCAATAAATTAGTATTCTTGATTCTCGTCTTATTTTGGCCTCTAGAATCCCCTATTGAAATTGTTCCCAGGGGATGTGGTAACAGATCGGGTATATACTCGCAAGTGTGTAATAATAACGTATTTTATAAATTTATTCACATGATTTAAATAAATCAAGTATACAGTTAAGTTTGACGACGCATGCGCGACGCGTGTCGTGCTCGCGGTATCGTAAGCACATGCATTTTCGTTTTCTCACTCTTAATTACCATTGTTTGTTTCTTTCTTCGCGATGAATAATATCTTACACGAGGCGACGTTTGATATACATATTTACATATCGTACAATAGAACTCGTCGGACATATAAAATTACAAAAAGTGATCTACCTAGTCGAGAATTGAAAATCGAAGCTAAGACTCTACGCGGCGAGTAACGTTTCGATCGACGCGTCGTTCGTTCATACATAGATTTTGTACAATGTACAATACGTACAGATACGCTGGACGCGCGTACAGCTTGCGGTTCTATTTACATATTGCGTTTCTATAATAAATATGTACACACGTGGGAACGATTTTCCGGCTGTTTCGCGCGAAGGAGACGGCGTGTTTATACTTTATTGCTCGCTCGAAAGTCGTCGAACGAAGTGGGAGAAGGAGCAGAAAAGCGCCCAGTCGAACTAGGTTCTCGCGAGACGCCATTCAGAAATTTGCGTCGCACAGTATCTGCGCGCGCACAATCTCTGCCTAAGGAGCGAGGAGGAGATCGAGGCGCTGATATCGCTGAAACACAACAACAGAGGGAGAGAGAGAGAGAGACGAACAGGGAGAAAAGGGTGGGAGTGAAAGCGAGCGAGGAAGCAAGAAAGAAGAAAGGAAAAAAAGGAAACGCCAGGAGTGGAAAAGTGGACAATCACGCTTTTACCGATGAAACAAAGCAAGAGTGAACGCATTTTCACGAGAAGAAAAAGGATTGCATCGCAAACAAATATTTCCAAAGTAGTCCGTAGGCACTCGGCTAATCGCGTGTTCTCTCGTGAAACTGACGTTCCACCAAAGGCCCTGACAACGCGAAAGCTCCGATAATCTCGGAACCTAAGCCCCCCTTGTTAGTTTACACCGTGCTCATTTTTTCTATACTCAAGCAGGTAGTACCCACCGAGCGTTCGATTCGATCGCGTGGCAACCTTTACACCCATCATATCAACTTTATAAATTACAAATAAAATACTAATTTTTTTTTTATACATAATTGTAAATTAGTCTATTTAATTTTCTATCAGAGAACAAATCGCTGAAATATTAAATCCGTGATACTGTTTGAAATATTACTTCTTAGATTCGATAGAAAAAACATGTTTTTCATGTAATAAATAATAAATATAACTTTAATAGATGGGCTAATTTACAATTATATATAAAAATTTTTCATTTATAAATAAAGTACGCAACGTTTTGTATACTTCACGCTTTTCAGTCGTGAGAAAAGAAATAATAAAAACCAATATTGACACATTGACTGCCACGTTGGTCATTGGTAACCGACGTTTCATCGTTACGAAATGTTTACATGGAACAATAATGCTTCTGGATAACGGTATCGTCGTTAGAAATATTATGAAATGATAACAAATGTAAACAAGTATAAAAATGAACTATCGATCAGTTCTTTTTTCAATAGTATAGCTCCTAGACACGCTAGAAGCGCTAGAGAGCCTGGCGCGGCAGTAAACGTGTTGATTCGACGATCTTTAAAACACACGAGTGTTCACGGCGCTACAAATGCGTTCAACCCTTTCAGATATTTCGAGCAATGCACTGTTATACAATAGATTCTTAAATAAAACGGTTCTGAGAAATGTCACAATTGTTTAAATTATAAATCACAATTATTTAAATTATATAAATTATATAAATGTTAAATTATATAGATATCAGTTTTATAAATATTATTGTTCGGTTCTGTTTCGATTCTTAACCCCTAATTAGTATCGTAAAGTACTTAACAGCCCAGTGACTAAATTTATTTTATTCGTAATCAGTATTGTGCTCCATTATATCGTTTAATCAAATAAAAAATAAAATAAAGAGCATTATTATTAATGGAGGTTAAAATGCCCCACGATACTAGTTACGTTTTGGGAATACACGATATCGGTTAAAGATTCATTCTTATCGAATTTGTGAAAATATCGACACATTGTACACGAAACACGTACTGATACATTTTTTGTATTTCGTATATTTTGTCGAGAGTTCGACAGCAACAAGAAAAATCTGAATTTTTATTATAGCGTACCTATTATACATATAAAACCGGAACACGATCGAAACGGAAACGAAAAGTAACAGTTACAGTTTAGAAAAAGAGCATGTTACATTTAATAATTTCTAACCGTCAGAAATGTTTCATGCGTTAAAGGGATTAATACGGGAATTAATCTGGCTCGATACACTTGATACGCCAAAGTTTACGCCACAATTTTGTTACGAATCGAGAGTACTTGGAACCGCTTATCAAACCCTCGGTGTAAACTAACTCGCTAACGTTAAAGTCCCGTTTTCCTGTAACCATTGATGATCGACGCACAAGTTGAAATCGAAAATATATGTCTTTCGTTTATCAGATATCAAAGGTTACCATATGATAGGCGGAACGAAAATGCTCGGAAATATCTGTAGTCGCGAGCATAGCAATCATTACCCTTTGCGACGCGAACACGGAAAGCTAGAAAAAGCATATTTCTTCTGGGCAGAGTTGGGCATTATTTCCAACACGACCTCGGATACACTTTTATCCAGATAATTATATAGATGAATTTTCTAATTATAGGACAATTAGTCGTTATTTGTTATTCGTAACGTTCATCTGTCAGAAATAATAGTTTATCCAGATTAAAATTTATTTGGATGAAAGATTATTCGAATAAAAATTAAACTGCGAGATCAAAAGCGGCGAGAAAATAATTTCCAACCCTTTTACAATGAAATAAAATAATGATAATTACTTCCATTTTTCAAACAGCCATAACTCCTACAATAGTGAAAATATTTCGATGAAACTTTTTTGTAAAGCAGAGCTCATGGATACCTACAAAAAGCTATTAGACAACTTTTCTTTAGGGCGTCAAACAAAATTATTAAAAATGAAAAACGAATTTCTAAGAAGAATCGACAAGGGGGTTGTTTTCGGCGAAATTGAAAACTTTTAAATCGTTCTTGAAAAATTATTTTTGGTTGCGGGGGTCAATTACAATCATTGTTGGTCATTAGACATACCCACGAAATTCTAACTATTTTCGAGAAAAAAATTCGAGAAGGTATGAAATTCGACAAAATTACAAAATTTCAAATCGTTCTTGAAAAATTATTTTCGGTTGCGGGGGTCAATTACAATTATTTTTGGTCATTAGACATACCCCCAAAATTTTAACTATTTTCGAGAAAAAAATTCGAGAAGGTATGAAATTCGACAAAATTACAAAATTTCAAATCGTTCTTGAAAAATTATTTTCGGTTGCGGGGGTCAATTACAATTATTTTTGGTCATTAGACATACCCCCAAAATTTTAACTATTTTCGAGAAAAAAATTCGAGAAGGTATGAAATTCGACAAAATTACAAAATTTCAAATCGTTCTTGAAAAATTATTTTCGGTTGCGGGGGTCAATTACAATTATTTTTGGTCATTAGACATACCCCCAAAATTTTAACTATTTTCGAGAAAAAAATTCGAGAAGGTATGAAATTCGACAAAATTACAAAATTTCAAATCGTTCTTGAAAAATTATTTTCGGTTGCGGGGGTCAATTACAATTATTTTTGGTCATTAGACATACCCCCAAAATTTTAACTATTTTCGAGAAAAAAATTCGAGAAGGTATGAAATTCGACAAAATTACAAAATTTCAAATCGTTCTTGAAAAATTATTTTCGGTTGCGGGGGTCAATTACAATTATTTTTGGTCATTAGACATACCCACGAAATTCTAACTATTTTCGAGAAAAAAATTCGAGAAGGTATGAAATTCGACAAAATTACAAAATTTCAAATCGTTCTTGAAAAATTATTTTCGGTTGCGGGGGTCAATTACAATCATTTTTCTAATTCTTTATCGAAAATATACTGTGTGACCGGAAATGTTTCTATTACGAAGCCTCGATCGAGAAATTGATATAATATCGAAACCGAAAATAATCTTTTCAAAACGATTTGAAATTTTTTTTTTTCATCGAAAAATTTAGGCCCCTTGGTCTGGGTTAAGTCTGGATTAGGTCTGGAAGAAAAATTAGATTTTCGGTAATTGACCCCTGTAACTAAATATGATTTTTTAAGTGTGATTTTAAATATTTTATTTTCATCTAAAAAATTCAGTAGCTACTCGAATTTTGTTCTCGAAAGTGGGTAGGATTTCGGAGGTATGTGTATTTACCAAAAATGATTTTAATTGGCCCCTGCAATCGAAGATAATTTTTCCAGAACGGTTTGAAATTTTTTAATTTAATTGTTAATAACTTTTTAACGAGGCCTTAGTCAAGAAACTGATATTCTTCATTTTCGTCTTATTTTGGCCTCTGGAATCTCCCATTAAAATTTTTCCCAGGGATTTTACCATTCTGATACCAGCAAAATGAATTCTCAAGTTAAGACGTTGAGGGAAATAAATTTGAATAGAATTTGTGAAATAAATATTACGTTATGTAGCTTAGAATGGTGTAAAATGAAAATTTTACCTGTGCAGAATATTATACGGGTTTGATCTGGCAGTGAAGGTGTTAGAGGTGATTTTTGTAAAATATTCAATTTGAAAAGAAAGGAAGTAGATTTGTACCCTGATGTTTGTTGAATTAGTTGAGAGATCCGAATTGGGTGCAAGTGTCGGAGACTAAGGAAAGACGTTATCTGGATAAAAATGTGGCCAAGTCTGTTTCTGCAGGAAAATGTAAATTTACGGAGAGCTAGACGAGATAGGCCTGGCCGGAAGATGGTGGGGGCGGCGGGGGCGGTGGTTGTTGGTGTCTCCAGGCGGTTCTCTCGAGCGTGGAATAATCCGAGTCGATGGAGGAGTATATGTGCTCGGAGAGCGGTCTTCTGTGATCGTCGCTGCTGGCGCTGCTGACGGTGGTGTTGGCGGCGATGAGATTGCTACCTGGTACGGTAACCGCATCTCGGTAGGCGTGATTGACGGTCAGCCTGGGCTGCGGCGAGGAAGGTGGCGGTTGTTGTTGCGGCATCGAGACCGTGCCGCAGGAATAGGCGGGCGGCGCGTGTTGCAGCATCAACGCGGTCGTTGGCGAGGAGTCTTTGAAGAAGGAACGTTGTCGGTCTTGCGTCCTGAGCGTCGACATGCTCGTCTTCTCGCTGGCCACGCCGTCCAGCGTGTACGTGTTGATGTTCCGCTTGTAGACCAGCGGCGAGGATTTCCTCTCCATCGATATGATGTCGGCCATGTTCGCGGCCGGCGGGATCGCGTGTCGCAGACGTTCCCAGAACCTCTTCTCGCCCCACGTCAATATCGCGGCGGCCGTTCGAAGGTACGGTCGCAGCTCAGGGTCCCGTTCCACCTCGGGACACGCGTGGCCCGCCTGCACCACGATCAACTGTGCCGCCCTTCTGCGCAACGCCTCGTGAAGCGCCGCGCGGAATTCGAACCGCGACCATTCGGTTTGCAGGAAGTTACGGGTGAGGACGATCAGTACACGACGGGACGCGTCGATCGCCTCGAGAACGATCGGCGCGAGGGCGGAGGCGCGGAGCACGCACGATAGATCGCGATGATGCAAACAGAGTCGAACGGCCGCGTTGCCGTGCTCGAGCTCCACGGCCAGCGAGTGGAGCACAAAGTCCTCGTCGTTCGGGCTGTAGCAGACGTAACAATCGTAGAGACGGTCGCGGTCGCGGTCGCGGTCGCCGTCGCAGCACGCTGGCATAGCCGCGGCCGACGGCATCGTGGCCGTCACCGACGATTTCCCCGGTTTCGCGCGCAAAAATCGCAAACCGTACTTGGAATAGGCCCAAGCGCCGACCGGCTCGCGGAATATGAACGCGAGAACGATTATTACCAAGAGCACGAGGACCGCGGACAAGGTAGCGGCGACCAGAGGCAAGTAATCCGACACCATGATGCTCTCGATTACGCCGCCCTGGGAAAAGTAATCGGAACAGACCGTCTCGTTGACGTTCAATCGTCGACGATACGCGGGCCTGGTCTCGCCGCCGTAATAGCACCAAACGTCGCTCGCGTCTACTACTTTGTGCGCGTTGTCCGATACCCAGGAGGATAACTCCTGCAAGAACTTGCACCGACAGGACCACGGATTGCTGCCCAGGGACAGCTCGACGAGTCGCGCGTTCAGCGTGACCTGCCAGACCGGGAACGTGACCAACCGGTTGCCGCTCAGTCTCAGGATCTCGAGCGAACGTAACGGCAAAAATGTCAGATTGCCGATAAAACCGATCAGATTGTTCTGCAGATAAAGCTCGCGCAAATGGGAGAGACGCTCGAACTCGAAACCCTTTAGCTCGCGTATCCGATTGTCCTCGAGATGAAGGATCTGAAGGTTGTTCAAACCGTTGAACGTGCGGTTCTGTATCGACTCGATGCCGCTCGCGTTCACGTACAGAACCACCATATTCTTACGACCGATGAACACGTGATTTTGCAACTCGCGTAACACGTTACCGTCCAGATAGACCTCGGTCGCGTCCATCGGTATTCGACGGGGTATCTCCTCGACCTCGAGGCCCGAGCAATCCACCGCGTTCGTTTTCCACGTCCGATCGTTGTAGCACTTGCAGCCGGCGGGGCAGGTCATCTCACAGTCACACGCGTCGAAATCACAGCAGTGGCAGAGGGCGAAACAATGGGCCTCGTAGCGGCAGAGGAATTGCTCGGATCGCGCCGTAGAAGCGGACACTATGGCGACGCCACGTGGCCCGGAAGTACGGCACATCACATTGTCCAAGTCCATGATGCGCGGGTATTCTCTCGTCGACGTTTGATTGTTGATTGCCGGCAGCCAATCCATCGAGCAGTTGCAGTTGAACGGGTTACCGCCGATATAGAACTCGGCCAGCGGTTTGTCCTCCGGTACTTTGGTCAGCAGCAACGACGTCAGCTCCATCGTCTCGATCATGTTCGCGTACATGTCCACTCTGGTCAGATTCACCTTGTCCGCGAACGTTTTCGGTCGAACGACGCTTATGTAGTTGTTGTTTATGAAGAGCAACTCGACGCTGTCGGGCACCGACAACGGGGACAGTTCCGTGATACGGTTGTGACTGGCGTCCAACGTTTTCACTTTCGAGTCACGGATCTCGTAGTAGTTCCCCAGACTCTCGATAAAGTTACCGTGTATGTCCAGCCATTTCAAGTTGCCCGGTATGAAAGCGTAATCGAACCATTCGATATGATTCTCCGATAGATTCAGCAGTAGCAAACTGGCGATACTGGTGAACACGCCGTTTATGTCGGACAGAAAGTTACCGTCCAATCGTATAGCCTCGAGACGTTCGTTCCTCTCGAACGCGTGCCTCTCGACGTGCTGCACCTTGTTCCTGGCGAGATTGAGAATCTGCAGATTCGGTAGGTCCCACAGCATGCCGCGCGACAGGTTCCCGATGTCGTTCCCGATCAATCTTAGCCCCGTCAGCTGATGAAGATTACGGAACGAGCCATTGTGGAAATCGTTGATCCGGTTCTCGCCGAGGTCGAGGGTTTTCAAGAAAGCGAGGTCGCGCAACGCGTCGGGCACTGACGTAAGCTCGTTACCGCTCAGATCCAGTTCCTTCAAATCGGAACAGTTGCGAAACGCGAGCGGGTCGATGCTCGCGATAACGTTGCAGGACAACGTGAGCCGATTCAGTACGAACAGACCGTTAAAAAGCTGCGCTCCCACGGTGTGGAGTTTGTTGTCGGAGAGCTCGAGGGTGTGCAGATTGTACAGCGGCAGAAAGGCGTTGCTCTCGATCCGATCTATCGTGTTGTTTCGCAGATCGAGAATCTGCAGGAAGAAAAGGTCCTTGAAGGTACGCGCGTCGATGTGCGTGAGGGCGTTGAAGGAGAGATCGAGGACGATCAGACGAATCAGGCCGAGGAACGTGGTCTCGTCCACCCGATCGCTGCCCAGTCGATTACCAGCGAGATTCAGGACCAGCAGCTGCTCCAGTTGAGTGAATATGCCCTTGGGCAGCTCGCGTAGCCCGTTGTACGCCAGATGGATCTCTCGAAGGTCCCTCGTGCTGGCGAACAACCCCTCCGGCAACGAGTCCAACGAATTATAACTCGCGTTCAAGGTGCGCAACACGATCAGACCGGCGAGCGCCTCGCTGCTAATTGAGACGATCGCGTTTCGTTGCAGGTGCAGCTCTTGAAGCTGGCGCAGACCGACTATCGGGCTATTGTCGGGCAATCGTTCGATCTCGTTGCGCGAGAGGTCCAAAACTCGAATATCCGCCCGACACGATTCACCGTTACCCTCGTTGTTCCCGGTGTCCCGTCGATACAGCCCGATATCGTTCGTGTCGTTCAGACGGTTCCCGCTCAGGTTCAACGTTTGCAGATTATCCAGACCGCAGAGCAGACCGACCGGAAGCGTTTGCAAATTGCTCTCGACGATCTCCAGGGTGTGCAGTTCACGCAGACCGAGCAACGAGTCCGGGGCGAATTCGATCACGCGGCTTACACCCCATACGCCGTTGAAAGTTTGCACGGTGAGTTTCTTGAGCTCGAGGAGCGGTTGGAACGCGCCCTCCGGTATACGCAGCACTTTGCAACCGTGCACGTGGAGCTCGTGCAAGCTGGTCAACCGTTGCCAGCTTTGAGCGTTCAGGCTGCTCTCGAAGTGATGGACGTCGCTGCACCGTATCCGTAACTTCACCGCCCCGTCGAGCGATGGCACGAGACTCGTGATCGCGACAGGATCCAGCACCCGCAGGGTGCAGTCCGCCGAACGCGTATCGTTCCCACCCTCGGGCAACCACTTGCAAGAGGCTCCGGCTGATTCCGAGACTATCGTCGACGCCAGGCAGAGGAAAGCTGCGTTTATCAGCGTCATGAAAATATACTTCGCTGTCATCTTGCGACGCGAACCTTCCCACGGCTCTTTTTACCGATTACCCGGAAAGGGATTCTATTATTATTCTATCGCTTGAAAAATACCGGGATAAACTATTTCTCACGTACACACTCGCACAGCGACGACACACGCACGCACATACACACACGCGAGCAAGTGCGAGCGCGAGCGCGCGCGCGCTCATGCACCTCCTATCACGTAAGTACGGACCGGCCCATTTCTCTTCCCCTTTATTCCTAGTTGGCTGGTGGCGAGCCACCCTGCCTGCCCTACGCTCCCGTTCACTCTTTATCACTCGCGATACTTTCGACTTTACTTTCCTTTCACCCTCGGCTCGCGAGCTCCCTTGCTTGCTTGTCTTTCGATTATCTTTATCGCGTCCGTACGCGTTTCTCACCATGCAGGTACACCGTCACGGCGTGCAAGTAGTACGAGCACGCTTTAACGAACCGACAGAACGAAAACAGTCTGCGTAAACCCGTATACGCGCGAAACGACCGTGCACCACCTTACACACTCGCCTCGCATCAAGCACTAGCACTGATCCAGCAGCCCGCTGACCGCGCATCATCGGCATTCCCGACCGTTCCTTTTCAATTTCTCTTTTCAACGCCAGAGCGCGCCACTTTATTAGAATACTCGGCAAAGAAGCCGGCACGAACAACACCAGAACACGAACCATAAACCAAGTCCATATGCCCTTTCGCATGTGCACCGGTTTCATTGCGCTCTTTGCCTATTGGTGCACTTTTTCCCAGCCTTCATTCCCAGATTATGAACGCCAGACCCTTACCACATACCCAAATCGATCTCAATTTTAACCCCAAACATACTCTATCAATTTACCTTATCATCTTTTATTTCTATCCACTCTCTCAACTTTTACAAACAATACAATTTTCAATCGATAAACAATCACCGCCTCCGATCCATCCAATTTTTCCAACTATGATACCGATATACGCCGTCAATTTTCGGGACCGTCCACTTTCCATCTACGAATTCAAATTTATTCATTTCTTCTTCCATCTTTAAAATTATTTTATAGCTCTATTTTATTTTTATTAACGATTATATGTTATTACAAATGATTGCAACAGATTCAAAGACTGAAACAGATCTCGGAGAAAATCAATGTTTATATTCGAAGGAAATTATTCAAAAAATCATTTAAAAATTGGATGTAGACAAAGATTCAAAACGGTGTATTTCAAGGTTGGACGTTATAGAGATTATTTATTTCTATACTTAGTTCTTGTACAAAACAGTTTTTTACTGAAGTTTTATTTTTATTGTCATTGATACGTTACAAATTTCATATACTATCCAGATCGATTTCGAATATACATACCTGTTTTTCCACATCAATCCATAGCTCTAAAAGTTTCATTATTCGAATAACCTCTTTAGCATTTACGATCATAACATTTACTTTTCCTCCGGTTTAGTCACATCTCTTATAAATTTCACATATAAAATATGTTACGTGTATATATGTGCTACTATATATAGATAATAATAATAATGTTTAAAAAATGGGAATCTTACAGTTAGCGTCGATCAATATTGTATAGGGCACCGCATTCATTGAGCCAGCCCTGTTGCCAGCTAAATAAAATACCCAGCATTTTTCAATTCCGAAAAGATACGCAAACATTACATATAAATATCATGTTACAAACGTCGTACTTTCAACTTACTCTACTTATTAATGATTTTGAAATTCTGGATAAATTCTAGAAAATGCTACGATTTTATTATTATTATATATACATATGTATACATATATTAGAATGCATATATTAGAATCAAAGTTACAATATCGATTATGTCTACCTACGCATTTTTAAAACGATTAATTAAAACTGAAGAGAATTCTCTAACGTTATTTGGACATTTATACAACAACATGGCTGCCATCTGGAGAGCATGTTTTAAATGTCAAGTTACGCAGCGTCGGCGTCGCTACTGTTCTTAACAGTTGCAATTGGTGGAGGCCGATGCTAGCGACCAGTTCAATTCCAGCAGAAGGTTGCGTTGCACGTATTTGCGACTCGTTTTCTAGCGACGAATTTTTTCATCGTATCTGACTTTAAAAAGTATATCCCTTGTTCTCGAAATTGCTTGCATTCGGATCACAAAAATGGGACTAGTGTATATAACTTGCATTCTGTTGGCTACAACAAGCTGCAGCATTGCGGGTCACAACGGTAAGTAGAAATGTTTCGTGTTGGATTTGCCCTTCGTCGATCCTGTAACGTTTCGCGTCTAACAATTGTTAAAACATATAAAATCTTCGTTTGCCGGATGCCGTATCTTTCAATATTACAGAAACGTTTAACACGTGTTAAATATTAGCAGCCTTTGCCATATGACGAGGAAAAGATACGAATACATGATGTTCGTTCATTTTTTTAAATTTTACGTAGTAGACGCGTTCACTCGTATCCCATTACACAAGACAACCCGTTATGTTTTCGACATCTCGAATAATACATGAATATCTATAATTGTTTAACATTCTCGATTAGTTTTGATAATTTTATTTAGACTTTACGATTAGTCCTGTCGACCTTCGATACTTTTGTATACAGATTCACTATTATCGATTTTTTGTAAGAATTTCTTGTTATACATTTTTTAACTACTACGAAATTTTATAATTTAAACATATTAAGGATACTTTTGTTCATCAAATGTTCTTGATTTACATAATATATTAGTCAAATTTTTTCAACAAATCGGCAAATTAAAAATTTTATAAACTATTAAGTAACACAAGCATAGGACGATTTGAATATTATAAGTCAAAAAATGTATCTATTTTTCTTGTCCGAATTAAATATTTTTACAAGTAACATTTATTTATTAAAAGTATTTTATCTTGAAGAAGTAATCGCATAGTTAACGTAACAACTTCATTGCCTTTTTTAAATAGTGATTGTTGTATTAATAATATTCAAAATATTAATTCTTTGTGCAGTGTCTACAGGGCAAGAAGATAATAAAGTTGCCGTTCCTCAAACAGCGAATCTAACTACTACGCTTGATTCTACGGAACCAAAAATTACGAACGATACTCATGGCAAAACTACCGACAATGCTACTATCATTATCCCTATTTCTACCAATCCTAATAGTACCACTGTTCAATCGACAGTATCATTACCACCAACACAAACCACAACAAAACCTACTGACAAACCTACAACTAACACTACAGTTGCGCCGACTACAGCTCCCGTTACTAATGGTACTACTACTATAACTGCTAATACTACTACAAGCGAAATGTCAACTGTTATTTCATCACCGGTCACAACTGCACTTCCTGTATCGACAAAAGATCCAACGCCGCCTTATAAGGAAAGACATTTCGATGGCCTCAGTTTCTTAGGTAGGCATTTTAGATCGATATCTATATTTCTACTAATATTTATCACGACCATATCACTTTAAATTCGCATGCAACCATTAGCTCTCTCGAATAGACTTTTCTTTGACTCTTCTCCAAGTAAAACGAGATTTAAAAGCATAGTATTTCCCTATAGCTACATCTTGTACTTTAACTTTTTTTAGGTGGCATTATCTTAGCTATATGTTTGATGGGAATTGGAGTGTTTTCAAGGAAATTTTATAGAACACTAAGCGAACGAAACTACCGCACGCTATGATGTTGCAAAAGTCACGAATGCGAAAATACCTTTTTTGACAAGTAAATGCAGTTATTTGAACTGAAAACTATAAATTTTACTATAACAATATTGCGTATTTTTATAACGCACTTAAGTGTCGCGTGGTTTAAGTGCTCTTAGTAATGTGATGTGCAAAATACGAGTTTCGTTTCTTTGTACCTAATTACAAAGATGAGTTACATTACGATATTGTCTCTCCATGTACTCGCATGCGCATTGTGATAGTGAATGCAATTGCGAGAAAGAAAAAATAATAAATGTGAAAGGGGCAAATAGAAGGGGAAAGTAGAGAACTTAAGGGCGCGAAAGAGAAAGGTGAAAGAAACTGAACGTTACCATGCGCATGCGCGACTCGTGCACGAATGTTGACGACCAATCAAACTCGCATTCCATTAAAAAGATCAATTCTGCAAGATAATAATCTACGTATTATTTTCCGTTTATAAGAAACATTTTTTATTTTTCTTATTTTGTACTCGTTTACGATCTATCGTATGTGTGATAAAAGCAACGGTTAAATTAATATAAGAATAATTAAATGTACACAGATATAAAGGTTCCTATGTGTATATTCATAATGAAAACAGATATAAGAGAAGACTACTTTCATCTATAGATAAAGTAAAAAGTTTAATCGAAGAGCGAGCCCTGTGGAATAAACAGGGATATCGCTTTGGTGGGTTCAAAGTTATTATATTCGTTTAATTCAAAGCTATCCTCGTCACGAAGATGATATTTAGTTAGAAATTTTTGGCAATGATGACGATGTTCTGTGCCATTCAAATGAATGAAATTACGTTCATACGTGTAAAGTATAGATGCACCTACAAATGATTTTATCCTATAATACCGTTGCGAAACCTTCATACGATTTAATGAAGAGATGAAACTTCTGAATCTCGACCTTCGTACCTGTTGGAAGATATAGTTCTATAATAATTGATAAACATTGAAACTGACTTTGAGCATATAAAGAACTTTGTATATGCCTTTTAACGTTTCACGTAGCAATCAATCAAATGACGTATATTTTTTATTTGTATTCTTTTTTGTTTTCTTTTCCTTAATAATAATAAGTTAAAAATGAATAGAGCTTAATCCTTATTTTTTATTTACGGCAAACGTTTTGTTTTAATTTAATTAAAATAATTACCAACGCGACTATGGATGTACTGCGACCGTGGCCAATAATAACATTGGCTCCTAAAATTTCTTTTGTACTTTCCAATACAGTCATGATACGTTCGATATTGTCTGGTAAAGAGTTGAAGCATTTACGCGCAGAATGATAGTTTTCCCACAACAGTTTTCCTATAATGTGCACCAAACGTTTACTTGAAAATTGTACAGTTACGCAACGAGTTTACCAGCATTCGGAGGAACACACGATATCTAAATAAGTAACTTTGGAAACATATTAAAACGAGAGACAGGATTTACTATTATACGCAAAGCAGCCTAAATAATATATCATATTTACGTTCGATGTAATGTTTTAACAAGCTATGTAAAATAATTGCTTATATGAATTATATAATATTAATACTATGCAATGAAAAATGATTACAAATTACGTTGTACAATACCAGAGAAATTGTTTAATAATCCTACCCAACATATCCCACTGTTCTGCTCTAATAGCATCCACCATATTCGACGCTCTTTCATCTTCATCGATAATACTATTTCTCATGTTTATCGTTTCTTTTGGAAACAGATATTCCATCGTCAAAGTACTATCTGGATGCGTACGCCATCGAGCTGCTGTATTCAGAATGGTTAAAATTTCTTTGCGACGCGTTCTGTCGAAACGAGATCTTTTCGATTTTTCAACATCGTGATTGGCGCATTCGATGAAAATCAGTTCAGCTTCAATCGAATTCCAATCGTAAACATCGATGTTAAGAGATCGTGCATCGTAATGGAATATCTTGTCTTCGTCCGCGACAATGGTAGTCAAAACATCAGCGACACGAAGGTCGTGCGATTCTACCGCTAGTTTCTCCGCCATGTGACACGCCAGCGTTTTCTCTAGAATGTTCCCAGTTCGCGTATTCGTAATTGCTTCGAGAAACGTGTAGAACGCAACGACCAGGGCGGAGCTGCTGCCAAGACCGCGTTTCACCGGCACGCTGGAGACGATTATCATTTCAAATCCAGGAACATGCGCTGTTAACAATATCGATTGCACTAATTTTGTTCAGCTACCGTACGCTCGATACCAATTTCTCACGCGTTACGACCAACTTTATGATTGTGCACGAATTCAGTCGCTGCTTCGTGCATCGTAACCCATAATATTTATCAGTGTATTTTGCTTAACATGCTATTAGGTTTAAACGCGTGATCCTGCTTACACTTGATAACCAGTTATCGAGAATCGAGGGGGAAAGAAAGACAATTGTAATACAATACAAATTAAATATGCTTTTTCTTTTGTATGAGCTGTATGTGTGACGGTTTCACGTATCTGTCGGTAACCAAATAACCGCATTCCCCACTCAAAAGTTATCGAGCAATGTTTTATTCGCCGTACCAAAGTAAGCATAATAATACACGGGCGCGTCACTCGTATGCATTTTCACGACCGCTATCAATGATGATTAAGTGATCGCAGATGTGCAGAGCACTAGAATACGTATTACGGATAATATGTATGCACGCTCGGTTGATTCGAAATTTTCCTTGCACAATACTTTGTATTTGTGTACATTCTAACATTTAACTGGAAGACAACAAGTTAAATGATAACTACAAAAACATTTGAATTAAAAAATTACAAAAAATATATATAACGTGTTCTACGGAAATCAATTAATCTTAACCTAATTAAGTAGATGAAATATCCAGTCTAAACTAAACTACTACCACAGACGAGATATACAGGGTGTCTCACCCGATTTTGACATCTTGATTTTCTCGCTATTGTTACTCGTAACAAAAAATGTTTCAGCGGAGGCTTGAATGGCATCGAGTGGAGCATATTCTGATGTTATTAGTTTTTTCGTGAGTGGGCGCGTAAAGGTCATATAAAGGTCAACTTTGTTTTTTTAAATGGAACGAGGTATTTTTTAATACATCGATCGATTCAGCTGGGCAATCGTTATAAAAAAGTACTAAGTGTGTAACGTCGAAAAATTAGTAGTTCAGGAGATATTTCAATTTAAATAATTCTAAAACACCATTACTGTTGTACTAAGACGTTGGCGTTTATTTACAGGAATGGTTCAACGTAACGACCATTTACATCACTTGTCATTACTTAAACTATACAGGGTGTTCGGCCACCTCTAGCAAAAATTTTAATGAGCGATAGTAGAGGCCAAAATAAGACGAAAATCAAGAATACTAATTTGTTGATGGAAGCTTCGTTAAAAAGTTATTAACAATTAAATTCAAAAATTTCAAATCGTTCTGGAAAAATTATTTTCGGTTGCGGGGGTCAACTACAATCATTTTTGGTGAGTACACATACCTCCGAAATCCTATCTACTTTCGAGAAAAAAAATCGAGTAGGTGGTGAAATTTTTCGGCGAAAAAAAATTTTTCAAATCGTTCTAAAAAAATTATTTTCGTTTGCGGGGATCAATTACAATCATTTTTTATCATTACACATACCTCCGAAATCGTACGCACTTTCGAGAAAAAAATTCCTTACTGAAAATCCAATTAGGTGCCTAAATTTTTCAACGGAGAAAAAAAATTGCAAATCGTTGTGGAAAAATTATTTTCGGTCGCGGGGGTCAATTACAATCAGTTTTTGTCGTTAGACATACCCACGAAATCCTGCCCACTTTCGAGAAAAAAAATAGAGAAGGTGTGAAATTATTCGAGAAAATTAAAAAATTGCAAAACGTTGCGGAAAAATTATTTTCGGTTGTAGGGTTCAATTACAGTCATTTTTGGTGAATAGACATACCCCCGAAATCTTGCGCATTTTCGAGAAAAAAATTCAGTAAGGGCGGCACTTTAAACGTTAATAACTTTTTAACGAAGCTTCCATCAACAAATTGGTATTCTTGATTTTCGTCTTATTTTGGCCTCTACTATCGCTCATTAAAATTTTTGCTAGAGGTGGCCGAACACCCTGTATAAAAAATGTTATTTAATAAGAAGAATAGTTAGTTTCTATTTGAATAGTAAAAATTGACGATAGTGATATTTTTAAATTAAATACAATGAAATTCTTATGAAATTGACCGTATTGTATAAAAAATGTTATTTAACAATAAGAATAGTTAGTTTCTATTTGAATAGTAAAAATTGACGATAGTGATATTTTTAAATTAAATACAATGAAATTCTTATGAAATGACCGTATTGTATAAAAAATGTTATTTAATAATAAAAATAGTTAGTTTCTATTTGAATAGTAAAAATTGACGATAGTGATATTTTTAAATTAAATACAATGAAATTCTTATGAAATTGACCGTATTGTATAAAAAATGTTATTTAATAATAAAAATAGTTAGTTTTTAATTGGATAGTAAAAATTGACTACAGTGATATCTTAAAATGAAATACAATGAAATTCTTATGAAATTGACCGTATTGTATAAAAAATGTTATTTAATAATAAAAATAGTTAGTTTTTAATTGGATAGTAAAAATTGACTACAGTGATATCTTAAAATGAAATACAATGAAATTCTTATGAAATTGACCGTATTGTATAAAAAAAGTTATTTAATAATAAGAATAGTTAGTTTTTAATTTTATAGTAAAAATTGACTACAGTGATATCTTAAAATGAAATAGAATGAAATTCTTATGAAATAGCCTTGTGGTATAAAAAAAAGTTATTTAATAACAAGAATAGTTAGTTTTTAATTGGATAGTAAAAATTGACTATAGTATCTTAAAATGAAATACAAATGAAATTCTTATGAAATAGCCTTATGCTATAAAAAAAGCTATTTAATCATAAGAATAGTTAGTTTCTATTTGGATAGTAACTACTAAATAAACGCTAACGTCTTAGTACAACAGTAATGGTGTTTTAGAATTATTTAAGGGGCCTTTCTACCTTGTGGGATTAAAAAAATCGATATTTTTTTTTTTTGCATTTTCCTTTAGTATGTAGTCTCGAAAATATGTCTACCAAATATTAAATTGAAATTCGGAAAACTAACGAAGTTATAGCCTGTTGAAATGTACCGCGTGCAGGTATAACAACTGGACGTAAAACTTTAAAGCTGTTTTTCTCGAAACTACATTTTTCGGCACTGCGTGCGTGATAACTAAAAAACTATTCAAGATATCAACATCAAATTTATACAGTATCTTCAGAACTGGTCTCCCTATAGCATGAACTAGGATAATTTCGATATATGCAATACTTTTTCTTTTATTAACAAAAAAGCAACCAAATATATGAAAATATTCAGTATTTTTTCGTAAAACAGCTGCCATTTTGCAATTTTTTGTTTTTTTTAAAAGATCCTAGTTCATGCTATAACCACACTCATCTATATTAAGAATATCGTTGGTTTTAGGATTTCGAATAACTTGTTCGCAAGATATCACGCACGCAGTCGGGTGCCGTTCGTAAAAACTGTTGTTCGATGATCAACAAAAACAGCGTAATCAATAGATATTATGCGTTGCAAAAATTCGCAAATATAGCTAAATATATAATAAATGTATCTACAAAATCCGGAATTAATCGCTCTTTAAATAACCCGCAAAAAAAAATCACAAAGAAACACGTATTTTTCATGCCTACAAGGTATAATGCCCCTTAAATTGAAATATCTCATGAACTACTAATTTTTCGACGTTACATAGCTAGTACTTTTTTATAACGATTGACCAGCTGAATCGATCGATGTATTAAAAAATACCTCGTTCCATTTAAAAAAACAAAGTTGACCTTTATATGACCTTTACGCGCCCACTCACGAAAAAACTAATAACATCAGAATATGCTCCACTCGATGCCATTCAAGCCTCCGCTGAAACATTTTTTGCTACGAGTAACAATAGCGAGAAAATCAAGATGTCAAAATCGGGTGAGACACCCTGTATACGTCCTATACCTCGTATGTGCTACTACGAGCCACTGATGTGTTTCGAAAACAAGAGAGAAGCAGTTGGCTGTGAAGTTCACGCCGCTGACGTACGTTACACGATCAGTCGTAATTCAATGTAGTAACATCGAGAGATTATCTTCTTATATGCATAAGAAAAACTTGATAGAACGTCGAGTTCTATAACATAATTAAAAATCATCGAAATCGTAACTCTTTTCTTATGCTACAGGGGCGGGTTAACCTCACTTTTACGTAAATGTTCCCTTTCGTAAGGCGTTGTATAACGAGTACGCGAGAACGGTGGATGATTTCCAGTGAGAACGATTGTATGTTAATTATACCCTTTTTGTTTGTTTCGTTTAAAACCTGATGTAAAAATGATGAACGGTTACCTCGTTTCGCCTTGAAACATTGTATCGTCGCTTTCAAGTACCGTGTCCAGGAAGCTTCTTCCATGGATTCATGGAGATCTTGAACGTTTTTCAAATGAAATTTGGACGACTTTTCTCCAGCAATTTCGTCCGTAATCGTTTTAACGCGACACCATTTGGTGGCGTGGCTGCGCCTACCAACTATCAACGTGACAAGTTGAATGGCCTGTTTTATTTCAATTAAAGATAAACGTGTACGTCGTTGCACGGGCGGCGTTGCTTTCTCTGCGCGGGAAAACGAATAAATGTTCACATACCATGGACAGCGATTTACTTTCCGGAAGACCTGTACTCTTTCCAGCCACGGACAGGCATCCAGGTGCAAACACCGCGCAAGTGGGAAACGTGCCATAGTAATTGAAAAATTCGTTTTCAGCGAGAGACTGCAAGTCCTCGACGCTGGGGCTTTTTGAATATATGTCCGAGAGGTCGTCGTCGTGCAGATAAGGCTTCACCAATTTATAGTAATCATTTATGAACTATGACAAAACATTGTTAAATCTGTATTTTTAGAATTATGTTAACATTGATATTCCCCGTTAATTTGAATAGTTAAATATGTATTCAAGATCGTTGTAATCTTTGTTGCGACGTTTAATTCGTTCGTAGTACTTTCATGACAATTTGTTTACGAACAATGGGGCCGTACGACTTCTCACGGTGTAACGCGTCGGTAAAGTGAAACATATTGGAAGCGGAAGTTTTATTCTGATTTTCTATCTCGAACAATGGGAGCTCTTACTTTATTGTTCGATAAATTGCCTAGCGTGGAAACGCTGCACGGCGCACGGTTATTACGGGATTTGCTGTTCATACTGGAAAAATGTCGAATCGACGTATTTTTAATTTGACATATTCACGACATCGACTGAAAATAAAAAAAAAACGAATGAACCAAAAACACTGCTGTTTGTCCTTTTTTCCCCCGTTTGTTTCGCGTGTGCGCTCGCACATCATGTTTTAATCAAACGTTCTATGGAAACGCGAAGCCTTCTGAAGATCTCTATTCTCCGTGACCTGTGTTTGGAAAAATCGAGCTGGTTTGATTTAGCGATCGTACGGTTTTTATATCGTATACGTTTATCCGGACGTTGCGCCTGTGAGGTTCTCACAGCAACGAGATGCAAACGTGAAATACCGAGATAACAGAAGGAAAATTAATCATTCTTAACACGTGATAATATTTAGCATTTCAAAACGCTGCATTTTCTGTGAAAATTTAATTAACTTTTATTCGTTATTTTCTCGTTTATTCTATTTGCTGTGGATGTAGTAAATATATGAGTAAAAGAAATAATTCTAGTCAACAATAATTAACTTAATTTTCTTAGTCCAGTAATTTTGTAATTTTCTATTTAATCGGTAAAATAAACTTGGTTTTATTTTAAATATAAAAATGAATATCTGTTCAATAAAGGTCTCGTACCAAGAAGTTAAATGATACGATGATAAATGAATTTTTTATATTAAGAACGCAATAAGGAAAATCAAAAAAAATAAAGTTTTGTAAATATATGCTTCAGTTTGTTTTAATATTGCGTAAGCCTTCGTGCAAGCGAAGACGTCACGCATAACTTCGTATCAACAGGAACGCGTTAACATTAGCCAATAATTTATTGCGACTTGCATGCTCGTGTCACAATTGTAAACCTCTTCGAAGAAAGTAGCATATGATAGTCGTGTACGTTCAGTGTTCAAGTTATTTTAAATATTACAATTAAATTTTTCAATGAGAAATGCTTTCATATTAAAATACAAATATGTACAAATGTTGTTTTCATCGATGAGGCCCAGTGCCCCGAAAACTTTAATCCGGCACTGATGAATTTTCGAACGTAAACCGCGCAAATCGAGAAGTTGGAAACAAAATGGCGTTCGAAATAATAATGTCCTTTTACCAGCCGCACTTACGTTGTTGGCGATGGTTGTACGAATAACGGAAATTGTTGAGATGTCGACACGGAACACTCTACACGATACTTGGTTATCCAATCCGTGAGATAATCAGCTATACGTCACGAACGTTCGCGTAATTATATCACAGAATGGAACTTTAAACTTACTGGAGATTTGAAAATTATGTAAATTCCATTGAAATTAATAGTATGTATCAGTTCTATTGATACAAAAGTTTTGCAATAGTGTAGCTTGCATAATTAAAGAAAATTCATTTTATATAATTTTATATTTTCAACGTCTAAGGATGTTCTTGACATTTGTTCATATTATATTGTAAAAAATATAAATAGTCGACAATTCAATAGTGTATTCTTAATAACAATAGGGTTCTCTTATTGTATACAATTTTGCAACACATTGCAAGTTTGAAGTGGTCACCAATGACCACTATAGCGGTCGTCTCTGTTTCTTTCTTTTTTTACTATTAACATTTTTACATAATTCCAAAGTAAACTGAATTTTTTAAACACGTTAAAGATTTCTCGTTTGGATACAAAGGGTATTTTTGGGAATTTATAAAGAAAAAATTACAAGATCGGTGTTTTTAAATTTGTTGTATGCGGAGAGGTAAAAAATACAAACTTTTACAATTGAAAAAATTTGTTCTTTTTTTAGAAGTTTATTATGTTCCAAGTGTTTAGTTTTCCCTAAACAGGCCGAGTTCCAGTGAGATTCGATTCCAGTTCGAAGAGGGGGGGGGGAAGACGCAGACGTGAGTTTAACTTTCAACAGAAGGGCGGAGTCCCTGCCCTTCGTCAATAAGAGCCACGCTCCCTCGTGTCCCTTTATTTCGTCTTTCTGTTCCCCGCGATCGACGCGCGGCATCCTCTCTACCACCCTTCATCATCATCTGCGTTCATCTCCCCTCCTTTTCTCTTCTCAATCTCTTCCCCCCCTTGTTCTCCTCCTCCTGGTCGTCCTCCCTCGCTGGTATAATCAGTTGCCACCCTCTTTCTTTCCGTCTCTTCGTTGCTCCATCTTCATTTCTTCTCCCACTAAATCACATTCGTCCACCCTCTCGTTTTCTCTCGCGCGACTCGTCCTACACCTCCGTTCCCCGCCCCGCGTAAGCTTCATCCCGCCCCTCGTCTATGTCTCGTCCATCTTCCTCCCAGATTCGTCGCGGGATTCGAGCCGAAAATACACCGGTGGCGCGTTCTCTCCGTGGAACGAGCGAAACACCCGGAGACGCCGCGAGGCTGTGGATAGGTACCGCGGCCGAGCCGTAACGTAACGTAACGGAACGAAACGAGAGGAAACGGAACGGAACGGAACGGAACGGAGTCTCAGCGAGGCACGAATATGCGCCCAAGGTGAATCCTGATGAACGTATCATCGATCGGTGGTTGCTGAACCACCCGCTGTGCTCGGTCCACGCGTGTACGCGCAAAGAGACGCGCTTCTCTGGCTGTCGTTTCCGCTACTGTTGCTCCTCCGGCGTTACGCCGAGGACCCCAGGCCATCGAACAATTTTCTACTCGCGTGCGCCGACCGTCAACCGTCAACCGTCAACCGTCAACCGTCAACCGATCGTTCCTCCTCGTCGAACCCGGTGATCGAGGCCCAACTGGTCGCGGGGGGGGCAAAGATCGCCGGCGGAAAGAGAAAAGAGGAAAGAGGACAGATACTGAGGAGGAGAGACGGCTTTTATCGATTGTCGCGGTGAGACGAGATACGCGAGACGTGCTGGACCCGCGAGCGCAAGATTTTGCGTCGCGACTCGAATCAATTCGTCTGGTCCACGCGCCACCCTCGCCAGGATCGGTTTAAACAAACTGGACGATTACCGATCCGCGTTCCCTCCGCCGATGGTGTGTGTTTCTAGCGACAAACCGTCCTCGTTATCCGCGAGCGACAAGACTGGTTCATCGAACAATCTATGTGATCGGTTCATCTAACCAAGTTTTCTACGTGTGATGATCTGTTGCTGGAGATACAACGAGGTACGTAAGTACACATTGTGCTCATAATTGGGAAACAACCTCTTTTCGACAGATTTTGATCGGTAAACCGGAACCGTATCTTATATCTCGAGCTTTGCCTCTATAGTTATCACGCGACGTATTAACTGAACGTAGCATGATCGTTCTGTTAAAATTGAGAAATTTTTCTCAAATAACGTAAGGGCATAAAGATAGTAGAACATTTCGACGCAACTGTCCCATAGTTGGCATTTATCAAACGCAATACGCGTTCGAGTGTTTGGAAACGGGAGAGAAAGGCAGTTTATCGTTCGATCGAGTTACCTGGGTTGAAACAACGGAAACAGTAAATATCTTCTGTAGTATGGTTTATCAAAATTCGATATCTCGCTGCGCCGTGGCGATGCCAAATCATGGTTCGACCTATTTCGGAACTAGCGAAAGGGACGACTTCGCGAAATCAGAAACGATAGTTGTATTAATACTAGTCAATTGACTACACATGATTATCACGCGATCAAGGGCTCTGACTAGCATAAACACCGAAACAAAAGTATCATTTTACTCTTCGAACAAAACTCACGGAAACTGATAGAAAATTTTGTTTCGATTCTATTCTGTAAAATCATTCAATTTCACAGTAACGCATGACTTAAAATAATCTAAAAAGACAATAAGGAAAATTCTTTTTTTGTAATCTGGGCTCGCATCATAACCTCAATCGTACTAATCAAGAATCTTTTTTTTTAAAAGAACCTTGTTTAATGACGTATGATAAATAAATATGTATGCAAAATGTCGGAATTAAGAAAGTTATATTTTTTTTTTGTAAAAAATGAAACTCTAGACTAGATTAGCCCGTAAATAATTGAAGCGTCTGTCTCGGAAAATTAGAGATATCCGTTTCAACGGAGTTTATTTTCCACCATCGAATGTCCGACTTTCGACTTCGATTCAAAACAAAAAATATAGATATATTCCTGAAATAGGGTTATGTGCATACATATTTACTCGTAAACGGTAGCACGTTTGAAAATACGAATACGGTGGATATCGACAGGTACCAAAACCGATTCCAATGGATCGATTGGTTTAATTGGCAAGGCACAGGTGCCTGTCGAGTACTTAGCATTCCTGGGCATTGAGCACCATTCAGAGGGAACAACAGAGACTGAGACGAACAGCTCTCGTCGGTCGTCGCTTGGAAACGTCGGCCAATAGATCGCGTCCTGAGTGTACAAACTCGAAACGTAACCTTCAAATTGTTGTCAAACTTTCTATCTCGATCTTACGTTCAATTACGCTGAACAAATGACCTCCTACACATCATCCTTAAGTTTTCTGAACAATTAAGAAAAACTGCTGTAGTTACTCGAAACATTTAGCATATACTATACAGGGTGTTCGGCCACCCCTGGTAAAAATTTTAATGGCGGATTCTAGAGGCGAAAATAAGACAAAAATCAAGAATACCAATTTGTTGATGGAAGCTTCGTTAAAAAGTTATTAACAATTAAATTCAAAAATTTCAAATCGTTCTGGAAAAATTATTTTCGGTTGCGGGGGTCAACTACAATCATTTTTGGTGAGTACGCATACCTTCAAAATCCTATCTACTTTCGAGAAAAAAAATCGAGTAGGTGGTGAAATTTTTCGGCGAAAAAAAATTTTTCAAATCGTTGTAAAAAAATTATTTTCGGTTGCGGGGATCAATTACAATCATTTTTTGTCATTACACATACCTCCGAAATTGTACGCACTTTCGAGAAAAAAATTCCTTACTGAAAATCCAATTAGGTGCCTTTTTTCAACGGAGAAAAAAAATTGCAAATCGTTGTGGAAAAATTGTTTTCGGTCGCGGGGGTCAATTACGATCAGTTTTTGTCGTTAGACATACCCACGAAATCCTGCCCACTTTCGAGAAAAAAAATAGAGAAGGTGTGAAATTATTCGAGAAAATTAAAAAATTGCAAATCGTTGTGGAAAAATTATTTTCGGTTGTAGGGTTCAATTACAGTCATTTTTGGTGAATAGACGTACCCCCGAAATCTTGCGCATTTTCGAGAAAAAAATTCAGTAAGGGCAGCACTTTAAACGTTAATAACTTTTTAACGAAGTTTCCATCAACAAATTGGTATTCTTGATTTTTGTCTTATTTTGGTCTCTAGAATTTTTCCCAGTGGTGGCCGAACACCCTGTATATTTTTGCTTAAAAGAAATCTTCGCGAACGGTTCGACTTCGATTTTGATGAAACTTCGCACACTTATGAAGCAGCCAAAAATAATCGACAAGTATTTTTTTTTAGCTTCGGTAACTCGAGTTTAAGGGGTGAAACAACCCCTTGAAGTTTTGCCTCGAAACGGAAAGACATACGAAAAAATGATTAATGGGCGAGGTCGATGGTTTCTTATGTACAATAACATGGTGTTGAAAAATTTAACGAAATACAATTTGTTTATAACAAAAAAAAATTTATTAACTTAATTTTTCATTTTATTGAATTTTTCGTAATGACAAAAAATGACGAACATTGTATGAATTAAATTTAATCAAAGTGCTATAACTATTATGTACTTAAGTTTTATAATACATCTTTGTGGCAGATTGATTATTTAGCCGGAAATTTTTCAACACAAATATTAATTTCAATTATACGTTGAATCGATCTATACTACTTTGGTTAAATTTAATTTATACTTATCCACTTAATTTTCTCCGCAACTGTGTACGAGAGGTTGCCATATTTGATACGGTTTTGTTAAATTCAACAAAATCGTAGTGCAGAGTGGAGGATATCAAGGAAGAGAAGAGAAGAGTATCGTTCAGATCGTGCTGAATCGCGTCGAGAGAGTACTTAATTCGCACTCGTCAAGCGATGGCTTGAATATTCCGGAAAAGAGCGAGATACGTAGCGTTGCAGAGGGGAGAAAGAGGGATAGGGATAGAGAGATTGCGAGGGTTGTAGGGAACCGGGGGAAGGTACGAAGGGAGAGGGGGAGGGGAAGTGGAGGGGGCGAATAACAGGACAGAGAGGAAAAAAACGAGTTCCTCGATTGCCGTTAACGACAGACAAGAGATTATCCAGTTGAGAGTGCGAGATCCTATAACGCGATGCAGCTAGCTGGGTTTCGTCGTTCTCAAACTTCCGAAGCTCGTTCGCGCGCTCCTCATTAAGCACTTTCTCGTTTCGTACAGGTTACAATTGTGCCAGACGTTGATAATTACCGGTACGGTTACAAGGGATGAGTGACTGAAAGGAAGTGGTCAATGAAACAAAGTCGTCCAAGAGCTGCTGATGCAACAGAACGAATGAATAACTGGAAACTATGCTGGTGTGTTGTACAACACAATTTTCGGTCGAAGGTAGGAACATTTTCTCAGTTTTTAAACACCATGGTTCCTGCGTTAAATTTAATTGCACGTACGTGAGAACATTTATAACTTTATTTACACATGTATCAGCGACATTTTAACATTTTTTTTAAACGAAAAATAGTTAAAATTGCTGGCACTCAAGCATTGATGATTTTAAAAAAGATCGTCTCACGGTGCTTATTATTCTGTCTCTTTGAAATGACAAAACCGTGAAATATTCTTAATCATACCCCTTAACCAACAATAATCAGTTTTCTTTATTGGATTTGTTTCTAAAAATATCGTTTTTTTTTATTACAATGTTGTATCTAACGTATAATTTGTAAGGAAAACAAATATTATCATCTAATTGTTTTTCAAAGCAGTCAGACTCGGGCATGAACGTTAAGGGGTTAATTAGTATCAAAACAAATGGCAACATTTCATTACCGACTTTCTACCCGTTTTACAGTTTCGACATTATAGTTTAAAGATCGTAAAATATTGTTATCGACATTTTCAGAATGGAACAAGTTAAGAAAATGTGGATAAGATTAAAACGAAACTCGGATACATTTCGCTGTTGGTATTACGAGGAACGACGTTGTCGTTATTAACGGCATACAGGAAATTATGAAATATCGGAGAATCAGTTATTCCATTTCCGCCAATCACCGCTTCGTTTCATCATCCAGCTCACCCTCTCGTTTCTCCAACCAGTCCTACGCCTCTTCTATAGCTTTGCTGACAGTGTCTTGATGGAAATCACGCTTTTATATCTCAGACGTAATATTTTAATCTACCAAACACGATCATTTAATAACTTCTACACTTTAATCGTTTTCCACCCGAAAGCTAACTCTCAGTTGCTATTTATTTTTTCATTTTCAAACAACTTGAACTCTTCCAGTTAATTTCTTGTTATATTTTCAAGAAACGTTATTTTTGTTATCTGTATAAGTTTATCTTTCAATATAGTTCATTTTTAAGTTTGTAAATTAACCAACAGAGTAATAAGTACCAATGTTGTTAAATTAAGACTTGCAAACCCAATCTCTTAGTTTTTAAATAATATAAATCTTGAATATTATTATTCTCTTACTTTTCCATCCATCAAAAAAAAAAAAACGCTTCATCTCAGGTTTTTGCAGTGGTCTTACCACTTAATAGAAATTCATATGTTAAACCAAACTGTATTGAATTGTTAGTTATATTAGAAATGCATAATTATGATAAATAAAATGCAACTTTGGATTCTAAAACTAGAATAAATGTTAATAAGACGAATCTATCGTTATTTCTTGTTATATTTTCAAGAAACATTATTTTTGTTATCTGTATAAGTTTATCTTTCAATATAGTTCATTTTTAAGTTTGTAAATTAACCAACAGAGTAATAAGTACCAATGCTGTTAAATTAAGACTTGCAAATCCAATCTCTTAGTTTTTAAATAATATAAATCTTGAATATTATTATTCTCTTACTTTTCCATCCATCAAAAAAAAACCGCTTCATCTCAGGTTTTTGCAGAGGTGTTACCACTTAATAGGAATTCATATGTTAAACCAAACTGTATTGAATTGTTAGTTATATTAGAAATGCATAATTATGATAAATAAAATGCAACTTTGGATTCTAAAACTAGAATAAATGTTAATAAGACGAATCTATCGTTATTTCTTGTTATATTTTCAAGAAACATTATTTTTGTTATCTGTATAAGTTTATCTTTCAATATAGTTCATTTTTAAGTTTGTAAATTAACCAACAGAGTAATAAGTACCAATGTTGTTAAATTAAGACTTGCAAACCCAATCTCTTAGTTTTTAAATAATATAAATCTTGAATATTATTATTCACTTACTTTTCCATCCATCAAAAAAAAACCGCTTCATCTCAGGTTTTTGCAGAGGTGTTACCACTTAATAGGAATTCATATGTTAAACTAAACTGTATTGAATTGTTAGTTATATTAGAAATGCATAATTATGATAAATAAAATGCAACTTTGGATTCTAAAACTAGAATAAATGTTAATAAGACGAATCTATCGTTATTTCTTGTTATATTTTCAAGAAACATTATTTTTGTTATCTGTATAAGTTTATCTTTCAATATAGTTCATTTTTAAGTTTGTAAATTAACCAACAGAGTAATAAGTACCAATGCTGTTAAATTAAGACTTGCAAACCCAATCTCTTAGTTTTTAAATAATATAAATCTTGAATATTATTATTCACTTACTTTTCCATCCATCAAAAAAAAAAAACCGCTTCATCTCAGGTTTTTGCAGAGGTGTTACCACTTAATAGGAATTCATATGTTAAACTAAACTGTATTGAATTGTTAGTTATATTAGAAATGCATAATTATGATAAATAAAATGCAACTTTGGATTCTAAAACTAGAATAAATGTTAATAAGACGAATCTATCGTTATTTCGGGCAATGTGGTAAGAGGAGGACTGGATAATTATGGAAAAGTTGTTTGAAACGTCGACGGGCGTGTTCACGCGATCTGTTCCGGGAAAGGTCGGAACGTCGACGCGTAGACCCGTGACTGGCATGAAAAAGAAACCAGGGAGAAACGAAAAAAAAAGCTCAGGTTGAAATGTTGCGTGTGACCTTTTGCAGGATATATCGAGCGGCTATACGAGGAAACCACGAAGTAATGATCAGAGGTACGCGGTCTGGGGTGGTGACCGCGAATTTCAGACAAGCGAGTCGCACCGCGCACGGCTGCCGATCGAAATCTTACCTGAACGGTAATCTGCTGTTGAGGATCCTTCTCAGTCTCTGTTGCATCACGAACAGTTGTTGCGATTGGAGGGAAAGGATGACGCGAGGGATCAAAGATTTGCAGATTGCTCTGAATCGTCCGTCTCAGCCCGGGCACTGCGATTTGGAGAAGAGTTGCGATTGGTCGTGGAACCAAACGCTCGGGTTTAAAAGAATCACGCCATCGGCACGTAACAGATACGGGCCAAAGACGGATGCCAGTAACGCGAAAGCAGGTAAAACGTGTCTTTAAAATACATTTTTTGATATAACAAACACTCAAAAGGACACGAATTGCCCGATTTCGATTATAATGTGTTTCTGCAGAATGGTTGCATTATAGTAGAGTGATACCTTCCAACGTACAGTGAGTGTAAAAAGTATTCGTACACTAGTCAATTTGAACAAAAATTTTGCAGAACTTTGTTTATTACAAAAGTATGTTAACAAAAACATGCATACATATTCCACACAGATTAGCGAAAACTTCTGTTCCCACTTTAACGCGGACCGCCATGCTATGTGTACTAGTCAATATTTTCATGAGTCAGTTGATGGTGTTTATCGGTTAAAGTCAAATTATAAGCTGACAACGAATATTCAACATTTTAAGATGTGATTGGAACATATTTCAATTTGCTGAAGTAGCATGCTTTGATTGTTGTTTAGGTTTTAGGTTCTTTAACAATCTGACCACATAAAATTCGGTTCCGTGGAACCTATCTGCCAAGAATACTTCAGAATTACTGATTAATATACTATTTCTAGCATTTATGAACTGCTATCGTTAATGATTTACTATAAGTAAACACGAAATGTATATATATAGACCTAACCCAGACCTAACCCAAACCTAACCAAGACCTAAACCAGACCTAACCAAGACCTAACCAAGACCTAAACTAGACCTAACCCAGATTTAACCAAGACCTAAACCAGACCTAACCCAGATTTAACCAAGACCTAACCCAGACCTAACCAAGACCTAACCAAAACCTAACCCAGACCTAACCAAGACCTAACCAAGACCTAACCCAGATTTAACCAAGACCTAACCCAGACCTAACCTAACCTGTGTGGACAGTAATTTGGTAAAGCTTAGAAAAGAAACTCTTTATTTGAAAGAATAAAAATCACTACAAATATTTAATACTATTTAATAAACTCCAAGTATTAATGTGAAATATTAATCAATACTGTATACAATTTTGTTAATTATAAACAAAATTAATGATCTTTACTTAAAGACTTTACAAATGCTAGATATTTTAAGTCTTGCAATCACTGTGGATTAATTTTATTTTCTCCCATTTAATAACTGTAGAGTGATGGTTCTTAAAATGAACCCTAGACGTGATTCGTAAGTTGAACATTTCTATCCCCCTCAATTTAGAGCCAGTGAAGCATATAAAAAAAAAATATTTTTTTATCGCCTCCACTGTACTCCAACCCTGGAACAACGTTAGAATTTCTAGCATTTATGAACTGCTATCGTTAATGATTCACTATAAGTAAACACGAGACTTAAAATACCTAGCATTTGTAAAGTCTTTAAGTAAAGATCATTAATTTTGTTTATAATTAACAAAATTGTATACAGTATTGATTAATATTTCACATCAATACTTGGTGTTTATTAAATAGTGTTAAATATTTGTAGTTATTTTTATTCTTTCAAATAAAGAGTTTCTTTTCTAAGCTTTACCAAATTACTGCCCACACAGGTTAGGTTAGGTTTGGGTTAGGTTTGGGTTAGGTCTAGTTTACAAGAATACTTTTTACACTCACTGTATGTAAAATGTTAGGTATAGATACTCGACAGTTTTCAATACGTAAATAATTAAAGTTAGATACGGTAGTCCGCCGTTAATGTTTACTTTTTCTGGAATGAATTAATTTATTTTTTATTGCTAGGACATTTCTTGTGGATCAGTGGCTTCGACAATGCTCAAATGTGGTCTTCCACGATCCCCCGAACTGGATCACGTTGTGTTTTGGAATTATCCATGTATCAGATCGAGATGATCGACGGATACGTCACCCTTCTTATAATGACAAACGACACGAGTTTAGTCGCCGCGAGAAAAGCAGGAAATAATAATGCAACGTATGTAATCGACGTCCCACTATCTTCTTAATGAACAGTATTCGATATTTCATTATAAAAATATTGATGGAAGGAAATTTTGTTGATGTGTTACAGATGGGAGACAACGCGTTTTAATCTGGGTGCAATTAGTCAGCCACATCAATTATTTTTAGAGATACAGGCACAGTACGCTAACTCTAGCATTGGAATTGATAACATTCGCCTGATTGACTGCTTTCCGGGTAATTATTATTTTACTTACTCAACGTCGTTCTTCTGCAATAGTATATTCTTAACGTTTCAATTTTCTGTACGAAGACTTGTAAACTACAGACAAATAAACCATGCTCGATTATACTATAATTAGCTATATTATGTTTGTTTTTCTCGTCAGCAATACTTACAATATATTTAACACATAAATCAAGAAATAGAAATAAGAAAAATTTTTTTAATTTCGATAGGTGTTGACAATATTTATTATTAACAAACAACAGGAAAGTTTGCGAATGGATTATTTTTAGGTATTGTTTGATGCCTAATGTGCAATATGCTTGCATATAGCTAAATTTATAAATGGCCGCGGTATACTAATCTGAACGACGAAAAAATTCGACGTCAGCAAAACCTTCTAGAATTACGCGAATTGAAAATAGATACGGGAATCGCGGCTGTTTCCCCGTCACGTGATCTTTAAACACTAGTATAAGTCCTATTTTACGAACATTTGTATTCAACGAACACCCCCTGTTTTCAATTAATTCGTTAAATCGAGGTTTTATTGCGCTCGAAATGAAAAACAAGAAGTAAATATAGCTACTCGATTGCAGAGTCGACGCCACTAGGAGAAGCTTGCACGGAAGATATGTTTCTCTGCAATAACGGTTCGTGTTTAAACAGAACTCGTATTTGCGACCTGACAAAAGACTGCGCTGACGGCGAAGACGAAGCCCTTGATTGCGGTAATTGGCAAATTATTGCTTTTCCGTTTTAGTTTACTTTAGATAAATTTTAACGGGAAACTCTATAGGCCAATATAAGACAAAAATCAATCAAATCAATTTCTTCATTCAGGCTTCATTAAAAAGTTATTAAAATATTTAAATCATTCTGGAAAAATTATTTTTGGTTACAGGGATCAATTACAATCATTTTTGGTCAATATACATATCCCCGAAATCCTAACCATTTTCGAAAAAAAAATTCCAGTAGGTGCTGAAATTTTTCGGTGAAATTGAAAAGTTTCAAATCGTTCTAAAAAAATTATTCTCGGTTGCGGGGGTCAATTACAATCATTTTTGGTCGTTAGACATACCCTCGAAATCCTACCCACTTTCGAAAAAAAAATTGGAGAATGTGTGAAATTTTTTGACAAAATTAAAAAATTTCAAATCGTCCTGGAAAAATTATTCTCGGTTGCTGGGGTCAATTACAATTATTTTTGGTCGTTAGACATACCCTCGAAATCCTACCCACTTTCGAGAAAAAAATTCGAGAAGGTGTGAAATTTTTCGACAAATTTAAATATTTCAAATCATTCTGGAAAAATTATATTTAGTTACAGGGATCAATTGCAAGCATTTTTGGTCAATATACATACCCCCGAAATCCTAACCATTTTCGAGAAAAAAATTCGTGAATGTGTGATTCGTTATTTGTTATTCGTAACGTTCATCTGTCAGAAATAATAGTTTACCCAGATTAAAATTTATTTGGATGAAAGATTGTTCGAATAAAAATTAAACTGCGAGATCAAAAGCGGCGAGAAAATAATTTTCAGACTTTTCCAACCCTTTTACAATGAAATGAAATAATGATAATTGCTTCCATTTTTCAAACAGCCATAACTCGTACAATAGTGAAAATATTTCAATGAAACTTTTTTGTAAAGTAGAGCTCATGGATACCTACAAAAAGGTATTAGACAACTTTTCTTTAGGGCGTCAAACAAAATTACTAAAAATGAAAAACAAATTTCTAAGAAAAATCGACAAGGGGGTTGTTTTCTGCGAAATTGAAAACTTTTAAATCGTTCTAAAAAAATTATTCTCGGTTGCGGGGGTCAATTACAATCATTTTTGGTCGTTAGACATACCCCCGAAATCCTACCCACTTTCTAGAAAAAAATTCGAGAAGGTGTCAAATTTTTTGACAAAATTAAAAAATTTCAAATCGTCCTGGAAAAATTATTCTCGGTTGCTGGGGTCAATTACAATTATTTTTGGTCGTTAGACATACCCTCGAAATCCTACCCACTTTCGAGAAAAAAATTCGAGAAGGCGTGAAATTTTTCGACAAAATTAAATATTTCAAATCGTTCTGGAAAAATTATATTTATTTACAGGGGTCAATTACAATCATTTTTTATCAATATACATACCCCCAAAATCCTAACCATTTTCGAGAAAAAAATTCAGTATGGGCGGAACTTTAAACGTTAATAACTTTTTAACGGAGCCTCGATCAACAAATTAGTATTTTTGATTTTCGTCTTATTTTGGATTCTAGAATCTTCCATTAAAATTTTTCTCAGTGGTGACCGAACACCCTGTATAACAGACTATAATCGAATAATCATTTCAGATAAAATACCAGAGAATGCTAGATGTAACTTCGAGCACGGATGGTGTGGTTGGCAAAATGTTCTAGGGAGACCTTTAAATTGGACCCTTCATCGTGGAGCAACGCCGTCCGACAAAACTGGGCCTAGTTACGACCACACGTACCGTAACGCATCCGGTACGTAAAATTATGTTTACGCGTGTACGCCAGAGTGGTCTTTATTTCCCGAGTTTCAATCCTTTGGAAGTCTTTTGAGAGGAAATTTTTAATATTTATAATACATTTTTCCCCACTGAACAACTGTGTCCATTCTGTTGGTAATGCGGCCAATGTCGGCATGGTTGCCGGGCCTGGAACCTCTGGGTAGCGAGGGGGAATCGGGTTTTCCCCGTTCGTGAGCGCTCTTATGTTGTTTTCCTGGCCATGAGGCGACTTGTATTATTCCATAACCTATGATATTGTTATTAATCAGTTTTGTTATAATATGGTATAAATAAACTTTATACATGTGTTCATTTGTAACCTCTAACAGTTATAATTTGGTATAAATAAACTTTAATACATTCCCAAAATCTTTGGTATTTATAATTGTTTAATTACAGTAATAAACTGATTGTTTTTTATTGTAGGAACATACGCGTACGTGAATATGTCTAAAAAAATTGTTTACGGAAGTCGTGCTACCATGGAGAGTCCATTGTATAATCCAACGCCGCCGTATAGCAGCGATCCAAAAAGTCGTTATCATCGATCCTGTCAAGTAAGTTATTCCCTAGCTGCGACTGAAAGATCTGGCTGCCTCTGCACAAACTAACACGCCAAGATCTTTTTCACCGTTTGCATAAATGTGCAGGTACGTTTCTTCGTTCATCAATACGGTGTGCACAGTGGTGCACTTGGATTATATTTAGTACAAGTAAAACCGCATCAGAACCTTTCCGAAAGGCTATGGTGGTCCTTTGGCAATAAAAACGACATTTGGCACAATCAGGCTGTCGCTTTACCCGACATTAAATACAGGTATTTATTATCTAAGTGCTTAAGGGAGTATTCTACTGTAAAACGCGTATTTTTGTAAATAAAAAAAAATTGATTTTTTGGTAGGTTTACAGTAGAACAATAGAACTGATAGATGCAAGTTTAACATATTGCATCAATACTTGTGCCATTTTTCAGGTATTTTCTGCAATTTGAGGCAAACAGAGGCTATGCCTCAAAGGGTGATGTAGCGATCGATGACTTCTCCTTAAGTCCAGAATGTTTTGGCATTGGTAAATAATGAATATTACATATATCATATAGAACAGTAGTACCCAACTTTGCACAGTATAAGAGCTTAATGGTGTACGTAGAAATTTAAAAGAGAGAGATCTAAATAGTGTTACAACCTTTCAGAAACTAATAGACTTTATCAGACTCATTTTTTTCCCTTTTGTTGTAATAAATGATCCAGTGGAGGCATCTTCATATGCAATACAATTTTTGACAGGACTGTTAGTTGGAAAAAAAGGGACTCCATAGATTTATTTTTAAAGAAAAATTAAATAGTATGAGAGACTAAATTCACTCCTGTTATCAATGAGTTGGAGATCACTGATCAAGAGGCATAAAGTATTTGTAAGTGTTTCTCTTTTCTTAGGAATTCCACCAGAAATTGTGGGAGATTTCAATTACTACAACCCTATTATAGACTCGGAAAAAGTTCCTGAGCAACATGCAGATTTTGTGAATGAAACTGGTACCGTACATTGTTTTCGCTGCACTAATAAGTAGTGTACAAAGGGTATAGTTGGATAAGGGAGTCTAGTATAATTAATGTGGTTTAGTTTTTAATATGGTTTTAATTTTTGCACAATTATTGCTTACACTTGGTGCAGAATGTTTGTGTTTGTTAAATTATCGAACGACCCATCGCCAATCAAATTCGATTTAAGAATATTTTTAACTCCTTATTCAGCTATATTCTTCTGCTTCAAATATGTTTTATATATTTCGTTGTAACGTGACTCTATTCAATTCCAGTCATTCGAATTAATACTTGCGGAGCAACTGGCAGAATAGGTCCCACTGCTGAACAATGTATAGAGGAGTATAATAAAACGGGAGTACAATTTATTATACCACCACCATCATTAGAAGACACTTCTTCCAATTTAAACGGCGTTCAACGATGGATTGCTCCTCGCGGTGGATATTACACGTGAGCAGTTTTCTGTAAATGTACATAGTACATAGAATTTTAATAGAAATATAGAGAATGATCGTGAATATCCAGTACACCGGTTACAACAGTTGTAATTGTAACTTTTTTAATATGTTCTGGGATACCCTGATACATTTAGTAATTTTTAATCGTAATTTATATTTGAATAATTCTCAATTGCAGTTTAATCGGAATGGGTGCACGCGGAGGAAAAGGATCGAGCGGAATGGGTAGCACATTAGGTGCTCTCGTGCGTGGTGTCGTAGAGCTAGAAAAGGGTGAACAATTACACTTCATGGTGGGCCAACCTGGATCCAACGCGTGTCCTAAAGTAAGTATCAAAGTACCTTAGTTAGTATTTAATTGTTGATTTTACAAAAAAAAAAATGAAACATAATTAATTTAAATTTTCAGAGTTTAGGACTTATAGAAGATAGTTGCCAGACTGGTGGATCACATCCGTATGGATCATCTCTCACAGGAATTACGTCTGCTATAAATGCAGTGAAAAATATTAAAATCAAGGATGGTGGAGGAGGCGGAGGCGGAGCAACGTATATCTTCACAGTGAGTGAATATTTTTATTTCGAGTATAATATTTGGGAGGAGGAGGAAAAGTGTTATTCCTTTTATTCCGTATTTGGATAGAAACCTATTACACCAATCAGTATACCAAAGATCAGAATTCTATTGTTACAGTTGAAAGCTAATGGACAACAGCATCCGATACTCATTGCATCGGGTGGAGGTGGTATAGGATTCGGACAATTTGTTGACAATGGTCTTCAACACGGACGAGGACCAGCGCCCTCTGGAAGACAACCAACGTCGGGTTCAGTTCTTTCAACAGAAGCAGGTAAGTATATCGTATGAATATCGAGCAGATCGATTGGAAGGAGTTTGTGTTTAACAAAAGATGTGCAGCAATTATGTAATTCTCAATCTAAAAGCTGCAATTTAATTTCTCATTTTCAAGGTTGACATGGCAACATCTTTCAAACTATTAACGAAGTTTAAATTTTATTTAGAGGATTTTCTAGCTCGACGTTACTACAGTGAACGTTAATCTATGGTTAGTTCTAACTATTTTGAAACCGTGTTAATTAAGAAAAGTCTGGTTGGCGCAGGTGGACCTGGCGGTGGATGGGATTGGTCGTCGAGCAGCGATTCCAGTCAACGAACTTCCGCTGGTACATCCCTTGTTCAGGGTGGCGTAGGAGGAATTGGTTGCGGGCCTAGGAATCAAAGCCACGGCAACGGTGGATTTGGTGGTGGAGGTGGTGGATGCTTGACAGGAGGTGGAGGTGGCGGTTACATAGGTAGTTAAAGAAATTAATATCAATGTGATTTTATTGCACGTAATACATGCACTCTTCCCCCTTCAATTGCAATTGAAACATTTGATGGTTTAGGTGGTGATACCGGCCACAAGGAAAGTGCAAATGGCGATGGCGGTTACTCGTATGGCAGCCGTGAACTTATGCACGTTCACTTCCAGCCAGCGATAAGTCACGGAACTGGTGAGATTTTCATTATTCCCGCCATCAGTGGTTGCGGTTGCGACTTCCGTTGCGTCGCTCTCGACCAGTATCTCAACGAGACGAAATGTCTTTGTCCACCGGGATGGTTGCTGAGCAATGACTCGAGATCGTGCGTCAGTAAGTATTGCACTGTTTATTTTCCTAACAACCACCTTTGTTTCACTGCTAAGCAAATCCGTGAAATTGTCAATCTAGTGAACATTTTATCGTTAGATAATTGGAAACTATTTAATATAATATCTGTTAAAATCGCTTCGGGTTTAGTGGATGTTTATACACGGTGGTACCATTTAGTATCGGAGCCACTTGATCGAGAGTAGCTCATAGGTTGTTTCTATTTCACTACCAGCCCCCTTAACAACCCGAAAATAAAATAAAATAAAAGTTTCTTTATAATTTTCGACGTTGAAAACCTGATTTTTTATTCAGAACAAAATTTATTTAGAGATGCCAAACATATACAAATAAAACAGAAAAAAAAACATCTGAATACAAAATACTACAAAGTCGTAAACTAAAGAGGCCTGTAGTTTAAAAAAAAATTTATAACTAACAAAACGATGACTGAAACTACATCGCATTAAATTTTGAACAAAATCCCCGACATCCAGGGTAAAACGTGATCGATTTAACGTGAAGTGACCCACAACCTTTATCTATTTTATGTTTGCGCAAAACTCAAAACCTATTGGACCGATCTTCCTCAAATTTTGACACGTTATTTCTGCATACTCTAGTACGGACATAGGCTATGTAGCATGTCTCAGAAACGCGTTATTAACATGTAATTTATATGCAAAGATTTCATGTGTACGACTGTTTGTTACTGCGATGTTACCGCCAGGTGGCGAATCTTCTCGAGCGCTTTCTCGCGAATCCTAATAAAATTAAAAATAATTCTTTTGTAGTGGCTGACGATTCGAAGGTTACGCATCGAACGTTCATGATACTGCTCGTAGCAGTGAGCATTGGGTTGCTCATTGCTTTCACAACTGTCTGCCTGCTACTATGTAAGGGAATATTAAATAATATTGTGACATGTGTAATTTTACGATCGGATTTCCGTAATTTAATTAAGTACGATAGAAACGAACAATAAATGATTGTTGAAAACGAGACGACGGTATAATATTCCTCAATTACAAGCACGAATCGCTTCTGTCGATAGATAACCGTTACCAAAGTCGAAAGGCGCTTTTACGTCGGCGACAAGTAATGTTTGGTAATGGTACGGAATTAACGTCACTGCGCGCCGTTTCGGATACTATGATGACCGAATTCAATCCGAACTACGAATTCGCTGGAAATCTCTATAGCTTTAAAGACTTGCCGCAAATCCCTCACGAATATATCAATTTGGGAAAGTAAGTACAGACCCGATAAATAATTTGTTGGGCTGGCCAATCAGTAGTCCCTGATCTACAGCACTAGATGACGATTTTTCTTTTTTCTTTTAAGTGGAAAATAAGTACTGTTCCTACCTTATCGAATATAATGTATACAAGTTGTTCAGCCAACATGTTTCAAAAATTCAAGGGTAAAATAAGACGAAAATCAAGAACAATAATGTTTAAAACTTATTAACGATCGATGAACGAAGTTTCGAAGCAAAAATGTTTACCAACCAGATATCGATGCATTGTAAACGTAAGAAAAAATACAAATATAAAATGTTAAAACGATTCGAGTGTCCTTGAGTATGTGTCTGTCCAAAATAACGGATCCGAAACTAAAAATTTCAAAATCTTTTTAATACTGGAAGGTAAGTATAAAAGCTTGTTTACTAGTATGTAGAGTAGGGCTCCCACTTATTATACAGGGTGTGACTTTTAAAAAATGTTAACTTTGTAACTGGGTATTATGAAATTTCACTTAAAGTAATTAATACATTGTTCGATAAAGTTTCCTATATTACTGTTTCTTATTCTGATATTACTTTTTGGTCAGCCCAATAGATGAAAGTTTCGTGAGAAAGTAGTCTACCAGTGTGTTGGTCCGTCGCGTGGAAAATGAACTACTGATGATTAATTTGTGCCATAGACCTCTCGGGCAAGGCGCTTTCGGCCAAGTGTTTCAAGGTGTGTACAGATGCAACGAGGAGCATCCTGTCGCCGTGAAGACTATACCATCGTCGTCCATCTTCGAGCCTGGGCCCCAGACCGAGGCCGATTTCATGATGGAGGCTCTGATCATGAGCAAATTCAATCACCCGAACATAGTACATTTCATCGGCGTTTCGTTCGACAAAAATCCAAAATACATAGTCTTAGAGTTGCTAGCCGGTGGTAATTTGAAAAACTTCCTTCGCGAGGAGAGACCACGCGCGGTAAATAGTGCACCTCTCTAAAACGCATATGGCATTACTTTTCGTTCGTATTCACGTTCCCCTTGGTAACGTTGCATTTGAGAGCTCCGTTTACATACGTATGTATAGTTTTCTTTTTTATTACCGTTATCGTAGGCTGTTGCGTATATGTATAATTTTCCTTCATAAGTTTCGTTGCTTCGTTTTGACTGTGTGTGCCGTTCTGGATTCTAATTTAAACAAAAAGAAATGTTAATTGCTCGTCGTGAATGGGATGCATGCGTGTATTCCTGTTTTGGCAGGATCGTCCCACGTCGTTGACGATGTTGGATTTAATACTGTGCGGCTACGATGTCGCGAATGGTTGCAAATACATGGAAGAGGCCCGTTTCATTCATCGGGATATTGCGGCGAGAAATTGTTTGCTCACGTGCAAGGGACCCGGTCGAATAGTCAAAATCGCGGATTTCGGGATGGCTAAGGATATTTACAGAAGCGAGTATTATAGAAAAGGAGGCACGACTATGTTGCCTATTAAATGGATGCCGCCAGAGAGTTTCTTGGACGGAATATTCACGACGAAGACCGACGTCTGGTGAGTTTACGTTCGACATCAACTAGGACTCGAACTATTTCTCCAATTTTATCTATATTCGAACACTTTGATAATAGAAATATTAGACAAACCTAAAGTAAAATTGGGTAGGCATACTGATTTATTTAGCACACCAAATTATACGAATTACATATCCATACACTTTTGAGAAAAAGATTCGAGGTGTGAAATTTTTCGACAAAATTAAAAACATTTCAAATCATCCTGGAAAAATTATTTTCGGTTGCGGGGGGGCAATTAAAATTATTTTTGGCAAATACACATACCTCCGAATTCCTACCCACTTTCTAGAAAAAAATTCGAGAAGGTGTGAAATTTTTCGAGAAAATTAAAAAATTTCAGATCGTCCTGGAAAAATTATTTTCGGTTGCGGGGGTCAATTACAATTATTTTTTATCATTACACATACCCCCGAAATGCTACCCACTTTCTAGAAAAAAATTCGAGAAGGTGTGAAATTTTTCGAGAAAATTAAAAAATTTCAGATCGTCCTCGAAAAATTATTTTCGGTTGCGGGGGTCAATTACAATTATTTTTGGTCATTATACATACCCCCGAAATCCTACCCACATTCGAGAAAAAAATTTGAGAAGATGTGAAATTTTTCGACAAAATTAAATATTTTATATCGTTCTGGAAAAACTATATTTAGTTACAGGGATCAATTATAAGCATTTTTGGTCAATATACATACCCCCAAAATCCTAACCATTTTCGAAAAAAAAATTCGAGAAGGTGTGAAATTTTTCGTCAAAATTCAAAACTCTCGAATCGTTCTAAAAAAATTATTCTCGGTTGCTGGGGTCAATTACAATTATTTTTGGTCATTACACATACCCCCGAAATCCTACCCATTTTCTAGAAAAAAATTCGAGAAGGTGTAAAATTTTTAGAGAAAATTAAAAAATTTCAGATCGTCCTGGAAAAATTATTTTCGGTTGCGGGGGTCAATTACAATTATTTTTGGTCATTACACATACCCCCGAAATCGTACCCACTTTCGAGAAAAAAATTCGAGTAGGTACTGAACTTTTTATATGAAATTAAAATATTTAAAATCACACCAAAAAAATCATATTTTGCTGGGCCCATAACCCTTTGTTGGGGTTTTGAATAATTCCACTTGCACACATAACTCAATATATATTTAGTTATCACACATAATACAGATATATAATAAGCATAAAAAATACAAACTCAAATAAGCATACGCCTAAGCACGACTACATGGCGCATACTAAGATGGCGCTGCGGTGGGACGAGCAAACCCCCTTCATATTTAGTTACAGGGGTCAATTACAATCATTTTTGATCATTACACATACCGCCGAAATCCTACACATTTTCGAGAAAAAATTTCTTACCGAAAATCTAATTTTTCGTCCAGACCTAACCCAGACCCAACCCAGACTTAACCCAGACCTGACCCAAACCTAATCCAGACCTAACCCAGACCTGACCCAAAACTAATCCAGACCTAACCCAGACCTGACCCAAACCTAACCGAGACCTAACCCAGACCTAACCCAGATCTAATCCAGTCCTAACCCAGACCAAGGTGCCTAAATTTTTCGACGAAAAAAAAAAATTTCAAATCGTTCTGGAAAAATTATTTTCGACTGCGGGGGGCAATTACAATTATTTTTGGTTATTACACGTACCCCCGAAATCCCACCCACTTTCTAGAAAAAAATTCGAGAAGGTGTGAAATTTTTCGACAAAATTAAAAAATTTCAAATCGTCCTGAAAAAATTATTTTCGCTTGCGGGGGTCAATTACAATAATTTTTGGTGAACAGACATACCCCCGAAATCCTGCGTATTTTCGAGAAAAAAATTCCAGTACGGGCGGAACTTGAAACGTTAATAACTTTTTAACGAAGCCTCCGTCAACAAATTGGTATTCTTGATTTTTGTCTTATTTCGGCCTCTAGAATCCCCCATTAAGATTTTTCCCAGGGTTGATCGAACACCCTGTATAGTGAATAATAGAAACAGTTTTCTACTTTGCAGTCTATTTCTAATCAGGGTATAAACACACTCTATATGCCAAGGTCAACAAATGTCTCGTAAAATATTTTATTTTAATTCAGTTTTTTCAACATTTACTTGATTATCTTAGGACCAGAATGTTTTGTCAGACTTAATATTATTTTTTCGACAAGCAATTGGTATAACATTTACGAGGTGATATTGACGATGAAAATCCATTCGATTAATTGTTGTCCGTAGGGCATTCGGCGTTTTATTGTGGGAAATCATGTCTTTCGGATATATGCCCTATACAGGGTGCACTAATAGAGAAACTATATCGATGGTAACGTCGGGTGGTCGTTTGGAAAAACCAGTCGGATGCCCCGACCCTATTTATGGAATAATGAATAATTGTTGGCGTCCACGACCCGAAGATAGGCCTAGTTTCGCGACAATCGTTGAAAGGCTTGGTTACTGCCTACAGGTAAAATCCTATAATACATTTTGGTGCAATAATTCAAAAATAAATCAATTCTGACAATTAATCATTTTTCAGGATCCTGACGTGATCAATCATCCAACGCCTAACTTTGATATTTTGCCACTTTGCGATCGCGAGGTAACGATCATGAGACCAGATCCAGAAGCAGAGTGTATAAATGTACAATCAGAAGTAAGTATATTCGTTTCTTTACACAGATTACGTTCAAACATAATAGAATCTTGTTTTCATAATGTTTCCATAGTGAGGGGCTCGGTAGAAACCAAGCACATGTCACATGCATATCAATATTAGTTTCTTCATGTAGTCTCTAATTCAATTAAGATTTTTACTGGACAGAAGTGTCCCCCATAAAAAGTCGAGTTGGAATGACTCTTGATTTTCACACAGTGTGACCAGATCATGCAGAATTCAAGTGGCAGGTTGTAAGCGTGTCACCCTGTATATTATTTTAAATTGTTGGATAATACCTTTTCCATCCCTAAGCGTGTCGTGTAAATGTAAATTTAAGCTTAGAAGAAGAGTGTGACGCTATGGAAGCCATGTTTGAGACCAGAGAGTGAAAATAATCTCTTTCAATATTCTATGAAAGGATAGTTGTATTATATAAAACCCTGAAAACAACATAAATAAATCAGATCTCTCCTCTAAAATGGTAAAATTGTGACATGTGCCTGTTTTCTATTGAGCCCCTCGATTAACGAAACCTTTGACAGAATATGTTGTACGATGTTTATAGTTAGATACGTGTGGATACATGCAGCCTAAAATTATTGATCCGCAATCAGCCAGTCAACGTCTGGCTCAAGCTGCTGCTTGTAGCGCTTTAACGAATCCCAGAAACGAACATCCGATCAAAAAGGATTCGAACGAAAAAAGTTTCGCGCAGCCGATAGATCGTCCGCAGGAACGATTTCATTGCAATCCATATGGTTCTAATACAGATACCCCCGAGAAAACTTTCGGCGGGAATACGAGTCGCGATGATTTTGGTGATCAGAATGATGATACAGAGGTACATTTAATCAATAAGAAATTAAACTCGTTCGAAACGGCTTCACGCGTGTTATATTACATATTCGTTGTTATACTTTGATTTCGTGCAAGTAGAACAAAGAGTGACTCCAAACAAGTTCTGAAACGAGTTTGGAATTGCATCGAAGCCTAAAACGATGCCTTATGATTGAACAGTGATCGTAAAAAACTGAGCGAGTTCAGGAAATCGATTGGATTTAATGCGTTATGCACTTTTGACCCCCTCAAATAAACATCTTACTCATATTTTACATTGTGTTTTTTTGTAACATTCAATTGATCAATGGATTCTTATGAAGTCCGAAAATTGGAAGTCAAGATACATACTAAAGAGTATAGCCGAATAAGGGGGTCAAATGTGCCATTGAACCAAATGTGACATACGATGGATCCATCGATAGAGCATCAAGAAAAAACGTTCTGTGCCAAATTTTAACCCTCTATCTTGTTTGGAAGGGTAGTTATTGAGAAAATTCGGATTAACGAATTTCTGCCCTATTTCCCCTATTTAATCGAGTACAAAAATTATGAAAAAAATCTGGTGCATCGTGGTTATTGAGGTACGTGTTTGAGAATTTTGTCCGATTTTTCGATTCCAAATCCTAGGTGTGAAAAATTGAAAACGCAAAAAAACACAGAAAAATACGGATTTCGTATTGAAGCTTTCGAGACACTAGATTTCTATAATTACTGTAAATGCGTATTGTCATTGGTTATCTCCCTGAATTTTTTCAGATTTTTTGGTAGGGTGCGCCGTAGTAGCAAAAATGAAAAACCGATTTTTTCGAAGTTTTTCGCGTGAAAAAGCATCTTATACTTTGAATTTTTGTATTCTCTTTAATCAATCGATTTTTTTGGGATCACTCTTTCAAGGCAATTACATATTTCAGTTAAACATTTGGTTAAATGAACCTTTAAATATCATTTCGATTAATTTACAGTTTTATTTCTTAATTATTATTTATAAAAATCCTCTGCTATTTTTGCAATAGTCACTGTTTCTTAAAAAAACCAAGATAACTTAATTGAAACGTTAGCCTTTAAAAAAAAAAATTGTTTTTTGATCATTTATAAATCTATAAATTAATTAATGCTTAAACTGGAACAATAAGTGGCTGAATCTGTAGGGCTGTTAGATGACTGTAAAATTCTTTATAATTGCCTCGCTAAAATCCACTGGGATAGTCTTTGTTGTCGGGAGTCAGTCATATTATCCATCAGAAGATTAAAAAATGCTTGGATAATTACTAGAAGATATAGTCGATATATCTTTATTTATATTTAAAAAACTTTCAACATTACAATATAAGTTCCCCTTGGTAAACAAATATTTATATCTAACGTAATAATAATAATTGCAATAAAAAATTCTTAGATGATCAAAGTATAAGAGATATTATGAATTTCAAATTGTTGCGATGAGAAAGTGAAATTAAATATAACCCAAATCCACTATGCATAGATCTACATATAACTAACAATCTATCCATATTAGATAAAAAAAAAAAAAAATAGATTTCGCAGCGTGTATCGAGCGAAATTATTGCTTAATAATTAAAAGTATATTTTTCCTATCTACTGCACGCAAGTGCTATGCTATTTATTGAGACAGCCTGATTTATTTGCAGAATAAATGCAAGGCTGATAGTTCGAATCAAGCGGAGAAGAATGTACATCGAATTTTAACGGACATCGAGAATAGCGGTAAGTTAGGAACCGGAGACAATGGTAATAACCGTCCAGGGGAAATCGAAAGTCCTCGGAGCAGCACCATAGACGCGACAGGCGTCGACAGAAGAAACGGTAACGAAAGTATAACCACCACTGACACAAACTTCGATTCCTTGATCGTTGCTTCCTCGGACACGCCGCCTGACGCGACCAACTCGTCGCCGAACACACGTGTCTGCTCCCCTAGTCACGCTAGCTTAAATACAAGTGCCACTAACGTGAATGGAATGTTAAAGAAAAATGCTTTGAAGGCTGCTCTCAGTTTAGATCCTAGCACTTTGTGTCGCGGTACGATACCCTACGAAAAAATAGCGTTCTCGCCACCGCCACAACGGTCAAGCACTCCTGGCAGCATGGAGATCAAAAAGGTAATTTGTCTAGAAAATCGGTTCAATAGATCCCTTGATATTTTTTTTTTAATTATGTTTTAATTCAGGTACACGTGTAGTTTACACGTCAGGTGCATATAATCCTTTGCACTTCTATTTAAAATTAAAATTCAATGTTCTATTCGATGTTTTAGTATAGTGGCGTACAAAAGTTTTCCACGGCGTATTTAGCTGTCAATCGTTGCTACTTTAACACTTTACCGACCGGTAGCGGTTGATTAATCGGCTATCGGTCGGTAAACGTCGGCCGATAAAACAGTTGATTAATAGGCTATCGGTCGGTAAGCGTTGGCCGATAAAACAGTTGATTAATAGGCTATCGGTCGGTAAAGTGTTAAATCGGAACAAGTGTTTCCCCAAACGTAATTTTATTAAACTATTCAGAGATAAAATAACGTTTGGAGAACACTTTCTGAGAATATCTCAGATCAGACGTCCGCCATTTTTAAAATGAGTTATTCTAACCAGAAGAGCGATTTAAAAAATGGAACATGGTATTTTTTTTTATGTATTCTGATTCTATGCCAAAAAATATGAAACTTCTATTTGACGTGAGATCAGTTTGGTAATGCGAATAAAAAATAAAACAGTTACATAGAAAATTGTTTATTTAAACGATTAATTTTAATAGAAATTGTATTATAAAATGTGTTGCACGCCACTGGTATGAAAACAGCTGTACAGTTTCACAGAAGAAAATTCGAGTGCACAGGATTATCGTAGTAGACGCGCGTAATGCTCGATGTCGTAATTTTCTTCCAAAAATTTAGCGATACTTATCCCTGAATTCGTTTCACCGCAGTTCTATGTATGATGGAACTATCGTCTCTCTGTTCTTCGTACGAAGGATCCTCTGGGTCGTCATCTATCGAGAGAAGAGGAATGCTCCTGCTGAGATTTGTTGAAAGGGGAGTGACAGGACTCCCCGGTCGCCGCAGTTGCAACTCGTGTAACTACCGCTAGAAAATCGCTGCGACGATCAGCTACGATAATCGCAGACTCGGCAACACCGCGTCTCGTGGAATCCACCTCGTCTCTGTGGATACGAAACGAAGAGTACCCGCGTCGTGTGCATTCCGAAGAGACGCTCTTGTGATCGCTGAGCGGTTCGTTATTCCCCTGAGAACGCTAGTACACATTGTCTCCGCGAGAGGGACGAGTTCAATTGTGTTTATTAAATGGACGGACATGCGCACTGCGGGGAGAAAGATAGATATCGTAAGGCCTATTACCTAGCAAAAGTTACTCGACACTCTCCTCATACCACGATGTCACCACATTCCCCCGAACCTAGGACTGATCTTTCTTTCTTCCTGCAATACAATTTATGGAATTCGTTGCGTCGACGAATCTCGACCCGGCATTCATCGAAGGTACAAGGAATTGCAATAACCGTCCGTTATCAAATCCAACCAAATCCTTTTTCTCGACGCGTATACGCATACACACACGCACAAATGCGCGCGCTCAATGTTACACGTATGTATGTTAACCGATACGAAGCGAACAGTGAACGCAAGCAGCACATTTCGTAACACCGATCTACAACCACACTCCATCGCAGTTTCAAATAAAGAATATAACAAATTATCCAAGGAAAATTATATAGGTAGACATAGCTGTTATGAGTTTATCGTGAATGTTCCTCCTGCCAAAGGACGACAGACAAAATATCACGATTCTACTTGTCCTCCATGAAGTATGCAGGATGATCGTCAATGTTGCGAGCCGTAATGTATGAAACATTTCGGAAGGTTCCAAGCCATATACACCGTGTACATTGGGCTGGACCTTATTTATACTCGATAACAAATTTTTTTTCCGCCCCCTCCCCCCTGAAATTGTGACACTGGATGAAAAATATGAAATTGATCGGACAACGGGAAATGGTGCTACATCGAATTTGAAAATTGTTTTTTTTTTTTCGTTTTACAATGGTTTAATTTTTCCTCGGTGTCGCAAAAAGAATTACGAAAAAAATTTTTCATCGAGTATAAATACGGTCGACCCTAATGTACATGTATAATACGAAACAGATTTAAAAAAGAGTGAGTATGCGTGAGTGGTTGAGTGTCTGAGTGAGTGAGTGAGAGAGAGAGAGACAATATACTGTACACAAGACCTAATTTACATAGAAGGAGAAAAAAAATACATGTCTGCAGCGTTCTTTCTATACATACCTGTAAACCTTTGCATACATATATGATATATATTGCGTACATGCAAATATATATTATACATATGTTAAAGTGAAACACCGAAATCTGGAAAATGTCGACTTTCACCGGTGAATGTCAACATTCACATAGTCGCTTAGTGTATGACCGAAATATTTGCTAAACACCCTCATTTCTGACTTACACCGGTAAATGTTGACATTCACCATGCACTAATGGTGAGTGTTGAACATGTTGGAGATTTATATTTTCTTCTCCGTAATTCAGTCGCTATAAAACGTCACAAGGGTGACGTAACTTTTTCGCCACTCTTTCTGAAAGGTTCTAACCCAGACCTAACCCAGACCTAACCCAGACCTAACCCAGACCTAACCCAGATCTAACCCAGACCTAACCGAGATCTAATCCAGATCTAACCCAGACCTAACCCAGACCTAACCGAGACCTAACCCAGACCTAACCGAAATCTAATCCAGACCTAACCCAGACCTGACCCAGACCCTAGATTTGGGTTAGGTCTGGGTTAGGTCTGGATTAGATTTCGGTTAGGTCTGGATTAGATCTGAGTTAGGTCTGGGTTAGGTCTGGGTTAGGTCTGGATTAGATTTGAGTTAGGTCTGGGTTAGGTCTGGGTTAGGTCTGGGTTAGGTCTGGGTTAGGTCTGGGTTTCTGAAAGGATCTAACCCAGACCTAACCCAGACCTAACCGAGACCTAACCCAGACCTAACCGAAATCTAATCCAGACCTAACCCAGACCTGACCCAGACCCTAGATTTGGGTTAGGTCTGGGTTAGGTCTGGATTAGATTTCGGTTAGGTCTGGATTAGATCTGAGTTAGGTCTGGGTTAGGTCTGGGTTAGGTCTGGATTAGATTTGAGTTAGGTCTGGGTTAGGTCTGGGTTAGGTCTGGGTTAGGTCTGGGTTAGGTCTGGGTTAGGTCTGGGTTTCTGAAAGGATCTAACCCAGACCTAACCCAGACCTAACCCAGACCTAACCCAGATCTAACCCAGACCTAACCCAGACCTAACCCAGATCTAACCCAGACCTAACCGAGACCTAACCCAGACCTAACCGAAATCTAATCCAGACCTAACCCAGACCTGACCCAGACCCTAGATTTGGGTTAGGTCTGGGTTAGGTCTGGATTAGATCTGAGTTAGGTCTGGGTTAGGTCTGGGTTAGGTTTGGATTAGATTTGAGTTAGGTCTGGGTTAGGTCTGGATTAGATCTGAGTTAGGTCTGGGTTAGGTCTGGGTTAGGTCTGGGTTAGGTCTGGAATAAGTCTGAATTAAGTCTGGGTTAGGTCTGGATTAGGTCTGGATTAGATCTGGGTTAGGTCTGGGTTAGGTCTGGGTTAGAAAAAGATCACGATTTACTGCAGTATCCATTTAGTATAAATTAGGGTATCGGAAAAAAAATTAAGAAAACGTTGCTAGCGTTATCAAAGCTTGCATAAGACTGACAAAGCTGATTGACTCCGAGCAGAACAAAGGATTTGGCAGGAGAGAGCCAGTCGCTTGTTTTTTGACTCTTCTGTTTTGGACCTCCAGCAGAGCATATCTGTGATTGTCGACACACACCGGAGAGGGTCCGAATGTACAACAATGTAATGAAATATTCGATCTTTCACCGACGTATTTGGTATCTGTTGACATTCACCGGGGAAAGTTGACATTCTCCAATTTCGGTCATTCACGGTAACATATACATGTATCTATTGTCTAGAATTTTGTGATATACGTATCACATGTACGTCTAGGCAATGCTCGACGAATCGTCTTCATCCTCGACACATTATGACTATTACTACTGGACAACGATCGTAACAACCCCGCAACGTAATTATTAAATAAGGATGAAGATCAGTTGTGTAATCGTTCTTGCCGTGAAAGAGAGACTACCTGAATGTTGATGACTTATCTCGTTGACTGGATGCTAGCCGTGAACAGAACGACGAATGGTGGAAAGCGTGTTTAACATCGATCTCGTTGTATACGGTCGCCATTGCAAAACAATGGGGCAGACGAGGACTCGCGAAATCGAGAAAAGCACAGGTCAATTTTTTATTTTTCTTACAACGACGACGTATTTTTCGTACAATTGAGAAACGAGATGATAACGCACTAGCTACAAACTATACGATGTAAGGGGCAAGGAAAATCGTCCGCACGATCCACCTAATCTCCTACACCTCTTAGGTTCTTGGTCATTATTAGGTAAGTCGATCGCGTCTTCTGTCCATTACGTAACGAAGTACGCGAATTATAAAAAATTGCGGCAGGGTGAGACACAGCAACAGTGAATAACATTGACATAGACATAGACTCAGAATATTAACTGTTAAAGGCACAAAAATATTTTCCGTACTTACAACAATTATTAAGAATAAAAAAAATTAAAAGTAAATGAAACGTTTTCGTACTTCTTAACCTATAAATCTTCGTATATCGAAGTAGATAAAAAGTTTACATTAAAAAATTAAGATCATGCTTGAAACGAATAACGAAATAAAGCGATAAAAATGTATAAATATTGACATGGATGTTAATTTTTGTTGTAATTGTTTAAACGATATCAATATTCCCTCCAAAATTTGTCGACTCGTCTGCCATCTGTTATGGCGTCCTTTACGCGCCGATAAATTCTTCTTTGGTGGCGCAGGTGGCGCTTTACGCGCAAATGAAAATGGCTGATGTTGCACATCGAACGCATTCGCGAATCGTGAATTCGTGAGACGTTTCGTATTCTTCGTTCGTTAATTTTGCGCAATTTTTTCTCGAGCAACAGTTTTTTGTCTGTTTACAAAACATCGACGCTTTTAATTCAAAGTGCACGACGAATAAGTGACAAACGCCGAATCTCAGAAGATATTTCTAATAGTCTGACGAAAGTTCCGAAAAGTGGTTCGAAGTGTAACCAAATCTTTGTACGAAAGATTGTGTTTTTTTTCAGAGATACGTAAGTAAAAATCAAAATAACAGCGATCTATAACTTATAGTTATGAGGCTGTGGTTATTCGTAGATTTGTATACGTTGAAGAGGTTAGGGTATATATTTGTATATCAACCATGATAAACTGAAAATTTTAATGATGTTTATTGTTTATATTTTGTGTATTTTATAAATTTCCTTTTGTTTAATCAATATAGATATACTGGGTAATGTTTAATATATTATTGTTTGGTTATAGGAACCTTGATCGGTTAGGTTTTAACTGAATATGACCGAGGAAAACCAGTTGCCTTCCGATTCTGACGAAGACGACGAAGATTATGTTCCTGATGGTGCAGATAGCGATCCTGTGTCCGAAGTAGAATCCGAAGGTGATGCAGAAAGTGGGCCTGAAGATGAAAACGATGAAAATAAGAGAGAAACCACGAAGAAGAGTGGAAGGAAGAGAAACAGGGTTACAAATTCTAAATCTAAGAAGAACAAAAGATCCGAACAAAATGATGAAAGCGGTGTAAATGAGGTAGAACTGGAAGAGTCTAAAGAGAAAAAGAATCTTACGGAAGAGGAACAAAAGAAAAAAGCTGATTCTCTGTGGGCAGATTTCATGAAAGATACAGGTAAGTTTAGTTTCCTCTCGATAGTCTGTGTAACTGCTATTTTTCGTATACTTATATTTTTATTTATTGAAGCGATTGTATCTAAACCAAAGCCACAAAATTCAACGAATAAATCGAAAGAAAAGACATCGCCTTTAGAAAAGCCAAAAATAGAAGAGAAAGTAAAAATAACTAAAATATTTGAATTCGCCGGCGAGGAAGTGAAGGTTGAGAAGGAAGTGTCGGTAGACTCTGCGGAAGCTAGATTGTCACATTCAGAGAAAACAGAAAATTCTACTTCCTCTACGGGGAAAGGGTCTGGAAAAGGAAGAGGTTTCAAAAGAGCTGGTTTAGGAGGTATTTCTTCTGTTCTTGGTCAAATAGGGAAAAAGGCAAAAATTAGTACATTGGAAAAATCCAAATTGGATTGGGATAGCTATAAGAAGGAAGAAAATTTAGAGGAAGAGATTACTACTCATAATAAAGGCAAGGATGGGTATTTAGAACGTCAAGACTTTCTGCAGAGGGCAGATTTACGGCAATTTGAAATTGAAAAACAATTACGTAATGCTAACAGACGCAGTACACGGTGAATTTATATATTAACGTTTACACGTATCTCTTCCTTAATAGTGAAAGATGACATTAAAAGAAATACCCTGTTAGACTTGCCAGTTCCTGGCGCTTGCAGCATGTATTTAATTCCTCACAACTCATTGATATTTCATAAATTTTATAAAAATGTGGTTGCCTCGGTTGGCTTGTCGATCGGCTGTTGGGAGCCAACTCTGTGAGAAGAGACTGATCATTCCAATGTATTGAGAATAATACAGTATGTTATGTAATAGTTTTACCATCTGCGAGCTTCGCCTCGTTCCATTATATCGCAGAACTTCGCATCGAAGCAGGATGTTTGAAGCTTGATGCTTCGGAAACAATATATTCTAATAATACAAACTCCAGAAACGTTTCTATTACGTTTCAGTGAAGAAAGGATAAATAGTGGATGTATTTAATAAGAGTCCGTTTGAATGATGAATGAATACATATGAGTATGCGTCTTAGAAACAATCATGAGAATAATTTCATTTACGATCACTGCCTTGGGCGCATCCTGCGAAACATGTTATTGTACATACAAACGAGAAACACGAAACAAAGGCACAGACTGTTCTTACAAATGAAAAGCATATACAGGGTGTTCGGCCACCTCTAGCAAAAATTTTAATGACCGATAGTAGAGGCCAAAATAAGACGAAAATCAAGAATACCAATTTGTTGATGGAAGCTTCGTTAAAAAGTTATTAACGTTTAAAGTGCCGCCCTTACTGAATTTTTTTCTCGAAAATGCGCAAGATTTCGGGGGTACGTCTGTTCACCAAAAATGACTGTAATTGAACCCTACAACCGAAAATAATTTTTCCGCAACGATTTGCAATTTCTTAATTTTCTCGAATAATTTCACACATTCTCTATTTTTTTTCTCGAAAGTGGGCAGGATTTCGTGGGTATGTCTAATGACAAAAACTGATTGTAATTGACCCCCGCGACCGAAAATAATTTTTCCACAACGAATTGCAATTTTTTTTCTCCGTTGAAAAATTTACGCACCTAATTGGATTTTCAGTAAGGAATTTTTTCTCTCGAAAGTGCGTACAATTTCGGAGGTATTTGTAATGATAAAAAATGATTGTGATTGATCCCCGCAACCGAAAATAATTTTTTTAGAACGATTTGAAAAAATTTTTTTCGCCGAAAAATTTCACCACCTACTCGATTTTTTTTCTCGAAAGTGGATAGGATTTCGGAGGCATGTGTACTCACCAAAAATGATTGTAGTTTACCCCCGCAACCGAAAATAATTTTTCCAGAACGATTTGAAATTTTTGAATTTAATTGTTAATAACTTTTTAACGAAGCTTCCATCAACAAATTAGTATTCTTGATTTTCGTCTTATTTTGGCCTCTACTATCGCTCATTAAAATATTTGCTAGAGGTGGCCGAACACCCTGTATGTCCGGGATTTCTGGAAGTGTTTATTTCTTGCTATTTACTCATCAAAAGTATAGTAATAAACCAGAAATCTTTAAATCTTGGCTCAGGTTATAGTTTCTAGAATGTATGCAAAATATATCTCATAGATATGCTTGTGAACTATTTAATATCGTAAAAGGTAAACCATAATATTTAACACTGTTTCATGTTCATCTTTATGTATCATATCTCGGCTTCATAGGATTATATAACTATGATAAAAGTAAAATCGAATATAATGTTTACTATTTTTGTCGTTTATGTTGCGCCCTTCGCTTGGTGATGTACTTTTCTTTTTATCGCAAAGCAGACGTTTAAATCGTTAGATGTTCTGTAAAAAAAAAAAAGAATTAATTTGCATTGGTCATGCAGTATCGATCTAGAATTTACGTTCATATTACTTAATAATTAAGTGTACGTGCCGTTAGTTTGCAAATCGAAGATATCTCCGCGAGTAATTATAACTCATTTTGTAAACAAATACAAAGAAAATACTTACTAGAAATACCGATCCATTGTTAATCTTTATTTGCAAAACTTCACTTTCCTTCTGTCCTGAAATAAATGAACATTCAGTCTATGGAAGCGTGGATCGTTCTACAGCGTGTTTAAATCCCCCGCGCTTGCTGCAGTCCGCTGATTGGCTGTCCACGATCTTCGTCACAGTTCTCGACCAATAACGTGCGAGTCAGCGAACTGTGAGAGGAGTGGGGATGCAAACACGCTGTGCCTTCTTCTCGCAGAAGAATGGTACTTACAGGCGCTTGTCGATATTGTTTCTTCAAAGAAATTTTAGAGCAACATTTTTTAACAGGACACGTTTTGCATTCACGTAGATTATTACATTTGGGACTAAAATGAGATCGTTTTAAGTACTTCCGTAAGAATATTTTCTCGGTCGTGATTTTTAAATACCGACTATTCGTATCGGGTTGAATTTTTCAATTTCCGTATTCGTTTACGTAAATTGGATAATCCTCTTCGGATTATATTTCGAGATGATCTATATGTCAGTCACGAGTAAGTTATTTCCTCTACGTTACAACAAGAGTATTTATTATTTAAATAATTCTAACTTTGACGTCGACGTGCAAGGGCATTTATCAAGAGAGTTTCGATTTCTCGAATCGCTGGAACTTCTTCTATTATTTACATCTTTCTTTTTACCTCGCTTTCTCTGAAACGATGTTTCTAAAATGCTAAAAGTGTTCACAATAGGCTTCGTTAAAAAGTTATTAAAAAATTTCAAATCATTCTGGAAAAATTATATTTAGATACAGGGATCGATTACAAGCATTTTTGGTCAATATACATACACCCAAAATCCTAACCATTTTCGAGAAAAAAATTCGAGAAGTTGTGAAATTTTTCGTCAAAATTCAAAACTTTCGAATCGTTCTAAAAAAATTATTCTCGGTTGCTGGGGTCAATTGCAATTATTTTTAGTCATTATACATATCCCCGAATTCCTACCCACTTTCTAGAAAAAAATTCGAGAAGGTGTGAAATTTTTAGACGAGATTAAAAAATTTCAAATCGTACTAAAAAATTATATTTAGTTGCAGGGGTCAATTACAATCATTTTTGGTGAACACACGTATCCCCGAAATCCTACCCACTTTCGAGAAAAAAATTCGAGTAGGTATTGAAATTTTTCGACAAAATTAAATATTTCAAATCGTTCTGGAAAAATTATATTTAGATACAGGGATCGATTACAAGCATTTTTGGTCAATATACATACACCCAAAATCCTAACCATTTTCGAGAAAAAAATTCGAGAAGTTGTGAAATTTTTCGTCAAAATTCAAAACTTTCGAATCGTTCTAAAAAAATTATTCTCGGTTGCTGGGGTCAATTGCAATTATTTTTAGTCATTATACATATCCCCGAATTCCTACCCATTTTCTAGAAAAAAATTCGAGAAGGTGTGAAATTTTTAGACGAGATTAAAAAATTTCAAATCGTACTAAAAAAATTATATTTAGTTGCAGGGGTCAATTACAATCATTTTTGGTGAACACACGTATCCCCGAAATCCTACCCACTTTCGAGAAAAAAATTCGAGTAGGTATTGAAATTTTTCGACAAAATTAAATATTTCAAATCGTTCTGGAAAAATTATATTTAGATACAGGGATCGATTACAAGCATTTTTGGTCAATATACATACACCCAAAATCCTAACCATTTTCGAGAAAAAAATTCGAGAAGTTGTGAAATTTTTCGTCAAAATTCAAAACTTTCGAATCGTTCTAAAAAAATTATTCTCGGTTGCTGGGGTCAATTGCAATTATTTTTAGTCATTATACATATCCCCGAATTCCTACCCATTTTCTAGAAAAAAATTCGAGAAGGTGTGAAATTTTTAGACGAGATTAAAAAATTTCAAATCGTACTAAAAAAATTATATTTAGTTGCAGGGGTCAATTACAATCATTTTTGGTGAACACACGTATCCCCGAAATCCTACCCACTTTCGAGAAAAAAATTCGAGTAGGTATTGAAATTTTTCGACAAAATTAAATATTTCAAATCGTTCTGGAAAAATTATATTTAGATACAGGGATCGATTACAAGCATTTTTGGTCAATATACATACACCCAAAATCCTAACCATTTTCGAGAAAAAAATTCGAGAAGTTGTGAAATTTTTCGTCAAAATTCAAAACTTTCGAATCGTTCTAAAAAAATTATTCTCGGTTGCTGGGGTCAATTGCAATTATTTTTAGTCATTATACATATCCCCGAATTCCTACCCACTTTCTAGAAAAAAATTCGAGAAGGTACTTGTTGGAATGTTGAAAATTTAGCGCCATTCAAAAGAATTCGTGAGCTCTTATGTTTTCGTTTTTATACGGTATGCGGCGCGACAGTCGAATGAGTGTGACTTGGTTTTTGGCTTTGCCGCATGCACCCAATTCTATTTTGTAAGAATTAATAAATAAAATACCTTTGTTACTCAAGAAATCTATCAGTACTGAAATTTTTAGAGGGGATTAAAAAATTTCAACTAGAAAAATTATATTTAATTGTCTGGGGTCGATTAGAAGTATTTTCGATGCGAGTGACTGTATAGTCCGGCGTACCTTATTTTTTGCGCAACAGCATTCGTCGTATTTCGTAAGAATCGCACACTTGGAAGTACACTCGCAGCTCTTTGAGTTCCGCGAAGTGGATCGAGTTCCTCTGACGCATACACAGAGACCGGGCAGAAGCTTCTTTTTTCGATCGCTTTCTCTTCTCGCTGACTTCTTACATCGCGATCGAGATCTCCTTTCCGTTTTCGTTTTTGTCGAACTTCGGGATATCCGAGGATCCTCGCAACGGCAAATCGTCCTTTTACCGGGCCGTGAAACGTGTTTCAATTTACCCGACTTTACGGAATCCTTACTCCTCACGCTGCAAATGATATGATTAACATCTCATCGCAGAGTTTCTCGAAAACTTTTTAAATCTAACGCGTATACGTATAGCAACGCTTATAATTATTTCGAGAGACGAAAGGCGTCTTTTAGTACTGCAGTGTTAGAAAAATGTAATTATCTTGGAATTTCGGTAAACGAAAATGTTTAATCGGGTCTCTTGTGTTGGTATTTGCTTTTTGAGATTTCGAGATTTAAATAATCTGTGTGTGTTCGTTCCTACTTGTTATCATAAATCTACTTCCGTTGTTTAGAAATAATTAGACTGTTATGGGAGTTGTTGTGATTTTTAAAATTAGCCATTTAAGAGAAGCTCCGACGTCCTGAGAAACTCGAAAAATGCTCGTTATTATATTTATCTTGAAAGGGTATAGCCGAATAAGGGAGTCAAATGTGCCCTTGAACCAAATGTGACATACGATGGATCCATCGATAGAGCATCAAGAAAAAACGTTGGGTGCCAAATTTTAACCCTCTATCTCGTTTGGAAGGGTAGTTATTGAGAAAATTCGGATTAACGAATTTCTGCCTATTTCCCCTATTTAATCGAGTAGAAAAATTATGAAAAAAATCTGGTGCATTGTGGTTATTGAGATACGTGTTTGAGAATTTTGTCCGATTTTTCGATACCAAATCCTAGGTGTGAAAAATTAAAAACGCAAAAAAACACAGAAAAATACGGATTTCGTATTGAAGCTTTCGAGACACTAGATTTATATAATT